TATCGGATACTCTCGGTAGCTTGCCGGGCTCTCCGAGAGGGGCGGAGGAATTGAACTCGGGTCGGCCATGTTGGCCGCTTGTAAGGCGAACGCCCTACCCGCTGTGCTATCCAGAATTATTCAGAATTGAGTTTCAGGAATACCAGTTCCTTCACCAGTGTCCTCTTTTCTCCAACAGTGTCCCCAGTTTCTCCTCCAGCCCCCCTGACTAACTCTATAGCACCCTTTTTTCTCCTTGTAAGCTCTGTGGCTTACAATACTGTTACTGTAAAGGTATCACTTTAGTGGGTTCTTCACTCTCCTATCTCCCCACCCCACCTTTCCATTGCTTCTATTTGTTTGACCAGTGGCATTGACTCCTTAAAGGTGCTTCTGGCTTCACTGTCATAGAATGAGTTCTGCCCACGTTTTCCTCAATGTAATTTATGGTCTGATACTGAGATCTTTATTCTGTTTTGATCTGACTTGTGCACGGTGCACAGGGCCATTCTCTTTTCTCACTAAGCATGGTGTGTTTCTGCACTGCTTTCCCATTGTACCTGTAGTGGGTCTAGGGAGTTGGCAGGGTGGGGAGGGTGCATTAATGCTGCAGGCAGGCTCAGGACCCCACAACTCTGAGAAGGGACTGGGCTGGGGCTTTAGTCTCCGGTTTTGTTGACCCTCCTGGGCTTCAGGCGGCTGCCTCCCCTGGGCTCCTGCCTGGTTCTTTGGGAGTGCTTACTGGGGGGTTGGGACAGCGTGGGGACACTCTAGTTTAGAAATAATTGAAGTAATATGTGTGCTCAGTAGAGAAAAAACATACTTTATGGATTCTTATCCATAGTTGTGCCCGTTTTATTTTTTTAGTACAAACTACAAGTGGAATGCATTTTAGAACTGTCTCGATTCAGTAGGAGAAGAGTATAATACTGCTTACTGAAATGGAAAGAAAAGCTATATTTAACTAATGAAATAAAATTTCATTTGGTACAGGCTAAACATCGAGGTCTAGAAAAGCTCACATAGTCTCAAAAGAATTGACAAAAGCTATGAAGGGGAAATATTAATTATGTATAGTCCTAAAATTCTAAGCTGATTGTATAATTACTTTTCCCCCAGAAAAATACATTTGAAAAAGTTGTGTATATTCTAGTTGAAAAGGGGTATACTAGAATAAAATCCATACCTTTATTAGTGAATAAATGCTTATGTTTTAAAATTATTTTCTACATGAGAGGCTAAGGCTAGAGTGGTTAGATTAGTAAAATACATTGCCTATTTCACTCTTAATAGTAAGCCAGTATAATCAATCAAGAGGTAGTACTGAATAATGGCGATGTCCAGAATGTCTTTCTTTGCTTTTTGTCACCTTCATTTCAGAGAAAGGATAGTGATCTATTACAGAATTTTTTATATTGTCATTATTCAAAGAAGCAATTTCTATTCATCCATGAAGGGTGGCTATATAAGGAATGATTATATTCTTTTTGTTTTTAAAATATAAAACAATTGAGATTTTTGAAGTGATAATTTGGGAAATAATGCAAAAGTTCTATAATGTAGTTCTCAATGTCAGGGATAATGGAAATGTGAAGGTCTGGAGGTGAGAGATTATAATTGGAGATAGAATTCATAAAATAAATATCAGCTGTATCATGGCAACTAGAACCAACATATGAAAATATTGAAGAGAGATTTTGTTTTCAGAGAATCGACTTAGAGTCTGTCATAAATTGGAATTTGGACATAAAATCATTCAAGTCCATTTGTTTGGCTTCTTTGGTGTGGAACTCTATTTGATGTAAATTTAATATGCATGTAATTATGAAACCCTTCATCTCATAATGAAATATGAGAGTACTTTTTCAAGATATAAGGTTGGCGTCTTATCGTAGTGCTATGATGAGAAGGGAGATGTCTTTCTTGTTTGCCTTTTTAAGAAAATAGGTGGCAGTCCTCGACCTGCAGACCTCACAGCTTGGTGCCCAGCCATGCAGTTATGGCCGCTGGGGTCATAGCCAGCAACTCTCCAGCCGCTCGAGCTATACTGAGTGCTGCTCAGTAGTGATCAAACTCTGCGTCTCACACATCACATGTGTTTTTTTTCTTCATCTAGCCATGCAAAAAAGTGAAAAAGACAGTAGACACTGTATACTATAGATGATCAGAGAATTTATTATTTCCAAATATGTTCTGTAGATCAAGCCTTGCACACTTTCTAAGAATTCTTGCAGTTAAGTATAGGTTTATTGTAGCTTAGGTTTGGAGATGCAACAATGTTATATTTTTCTGTGTGTTTCTCATAAATTTCCCTAATTCAGACATTCTCAAAATTGGGTACTTCAGTGTTTAGGTAACAGTGCACTGAGGTTGTGTGTATTAGTTTGTACCTATTTGGTACGATAATTTGCCTATTTTTGTCCATCATTGACTTACTGTAAAAAAGATTAATTGAACAGACTATTATAATGCTGAATTACTTTCCGTTCTCTTGTTATACTGCAGTTGATTTACCCACTTACTTAGTGAAGGACATCTTGTTTATTTCCAAGTTCTAACAATTCTGAATAAAGCAGCTGTTAACATAAAGGGTGGATGGGGGAGAAAACTAGATTCTAGTCATAATCTGCATTTCAACTAGAGGTAGCTTGTAAATTGCACAAAACTGTTGCATTCTAGTTATTGAACCAACCCAGTATATGAAAGTTGATGTCCTGTGTAGGAAATACATGTTTTAATAATAAATCAATGGGGTAGAGGAAATGTGTCTCAGCGTTAGAATATACTTGTTTTGTGCATGATACCTTGGGTTCAGTCTGTATTATTGCAAAAATAATGATAAATGAAAATAATAAACCAAGAGTTAAGAAACTGTTGTGGTTATTTTTCCTTATTTCCAGGGCATAATGCATTTAAGGATTGCCTCTTCACTTCTTAATATCCATTACCAGTAAATGATTTCTAAGTATAAGAATTGCTTACGCCCAAGGCGGGGAGATATAAATTGTCATCTATCAGTTTTATGCTGCTCTTTGCGCGTTTTCTTGGCCTTAGGAAGCAGTCTGGACACGTAGCTAAGGGTAAAGTAGCTTTGCTTCCCCGAGAACTCACCTTGGTTTGAGTCTTACTTTTTTTGGATCCTTAGTGAATATAGAAAACAGATTAATTTAACCACGTCGTCTTATTTTCCTGATCATCCTTGACAAGGCAAGACTTTCCCTCTGTACTTACCAGCAAAAAATGTTTGAATCTCATTACTCATTAGCATTGATAAAACTTTTAAAGCAACCAGTTTTTAAATATCTCCTTTCAATTACTTGGCTGTAAATCTAGATTATTTTATTGTAGGTGTCATCAGAACCTGTGTAATCATAAAATAAATGAGTGCAGACAGGCGTGGTCTCTCTCTGCTGCCACGTGCATTCGGTGGCGTGTGCCACTTTCCCACCCTGGCCTATAGCCGTCTCCAGCAGACGCATGAAGGAGGGAACAGGGCCGCCAGGCTACTTGGTGAGCAGTTCCCGTTTGTTCCATTCTCCCCACGTGTCTGTTCCAGTCTCCTAAGCACCCCATGCTATTCTCCCCACAGTCCATCTCGCGGCCTTGGTCTAAGGCCCAGCCTCCAAGCATTGTGGGTAGCTACTACACCTAAGTCAGGTAGCACAATCAACATATGAAAGCCCTTTTAGAAGGGAAGCTCTTCTAAGACAAAGATCTCCTGCAGTTAGGAGATCTGTCCAAGGGTGAAATACCATCTATTAGTGTGTTTGTCCTTTTCTTAGTCCAGCAACTATCTTAGATTTATTTCTAAATAATCTTTCTAGTCATTTTGTATGGACACAGTAAGAGATACGTTAAGATTGTAGGGTGGTTCTCCTGGGGATATCTTGCCATAGGTCCCAGACTACAGTGCTCAGGCCAGACTGGTCTTTTCTAATCCTAGCAGGGTCCTAATCCAGTTGTTAATTCTTTGGATCATGACAGAATTTGTCCATAACTGTGCTCTTAACTTTTAGTTAAGTATTATGGTGCTTGGCCTGACCTGTTTCAATACCATGGTGGCTCCATCCAGTCCCTCGTCAGGACCTTGCTTTTGGATGCTATGATCTAAGGGCAGCTGAGGCTTAAGTCAAGAAAACTGATGCCCAGGAATGAATATTACCTGGAGTCAGTTAACTCCCAAGTTACAAAAGGATAGCATTAACTGTCATCCTGTGTCTATACAAAAAGGGCATTGCTCTAAAGTAAATATGCAAAGAACATAAGGGGGAAAGAAAAGAAATATTTCACTTACAAGTACAAAATCAGAGATTTCTGAGAAATTTGACTTTACGGTCACAAGTACTGCTTAGGGGAAATAGGTGATTAACTGTTGGGAAAGAGAACACGGAGGAGTTAAAGATAAACAGAGCATTGGGAGTGCCTCGGGAGCAGCTGTGAATGATGTAACCCAATAAACCTGAGCTCCCTGTGACAAGGGAGAAAGGACAAACCAATATTATCCTACAAGAACCTTGCTAATTCTAATGTTTTTCTGTGTCTTTCCTCTGATCACTTAAAAATATATTTTACAACAACAGAAGGGGTGAGAGAAGGAGATGAATCCTAAGTCAGCTTTTTAAATCCTGCAAGTAATTGACTAGAAAAAATGGCACGGGCAACCTAGAGTATCTGAAGGTGTCCATGTGTCCCAGGGCCCTGCAGAAAGTTCTCAGGCCTGGCCTGTGCCGGGCTCTGTGCCTGGGTTCCATCCCCAGGGTCACTGCCTCCCAAGCACCACCTATGGGGCTCTGCTAGTCCCTGGCACCTCTGGGGAGCCCCCACCCGCAAGTAAAAGGAATCTCAAATAAGAATTTTCTTCTTTAAAAGTTGAGTTTCATTATTCTGTACTGATTAGCAGAGACCTAGTTTGACCAGCTGGGGGAGTCCTTTAGTCTTCTAGATATTTTCTTCTTCAGATAATGCCTTGTGATGCACTTTTTTGTGTGTGTAACTGATTTTTTTTTATTTTTTGATTTCAGCTGATCCTATTAAAATACTAATGCCATCTCTGTCTCCCACAATGGAAGAAGGAAACATCGTGAAATGGCTGAAAAAGGAAGGTGAGCAAGTGCATTACATAGCTTTTGTCATGCGATGAGTTTTGTTTTTTTAAAAGCCAATTATACTTTACAGCAAATGATATAAATGAAATAAGTAGGTTTTCTGCTAAGTTTTTTTAAATGAAATTTTAACCATATAATGCAGCAGAATTTTTCTGATTTCAGTTTTTTACAAGGAGAGTTTAGTACGATTCTTCAACATTTGCTTCTAAATTTATGTTCTACATTTAGCTTTTAGGTTCAAAGTCACTAATTTGTCAATATCATTAAGTTGATTTATGACTTTATAATGAATGTGTATGTGTATTTTCTTGAGTTAGGTAATTTGAGTATAATTTAATCTCGAAGAACAAGTAAGAATAAAAAAACTCTTGAAAGAGGAACAGCGGAAAGGAGGATGGTTGTAGCCTTATTGAACATTAAGGGCATTATTTATTAAGTATCCGTGAGAAAAACTGACACCAGTCTTAAAAAGATTAAAAATTGAAGAAAAATGAGTGTATTTGAACTCAAAATCCTTTCTAACACCAAATAAGAAAACATTAATAAGCTGTTTGCTTTGGAGTTGTTCGTAAGTTAACTCTAAATGGAAAGACAAATATTTTTCCCTGGCTTTTCCTACTTAGGGAAACTATAGCTTGAGGCAGTTAAGTCCGGCATTTGCCTTGCACACAGCAGATCCAAGTTAAACTCCTGACACTCCATATGGTCCCTGAGCACTCCAGGAGTGCTCCCTGAGCGCAGAGTCTGGAGTGAGCCCTGAGCAATGCTCACCTGAGGACACAATAACAGTCCATTAGAAGGAAGTTAGAGGAGGCTTAATTTTTTTTTCTTTCTTTCTTCAGTTACTTTTCTCTTTTTTCCTTCCTGTGGTCATTTCCAGTTAATAATGGTAAACACCGCTCCTGTCTCTTTCTTCTCCCTCTGCCCACTGAATAGTATTGATTGTAGGTCGGTATCCAGCCATCTTCTCATCTGCTTTACTTATGCTGCAACATACTACATGTTTGTGGAGCAAAATGCATAATCCCAGTCTCTGCTGAGGTTTGTTTGGTAGATATGGAGAGAAACTATAGGTGTTGGGACTGAAGTAGAGTACAGCAGATAGGATGCTTGCCCTGCATGTGACTGAGGCCAGCCAGATTCCTGGCACCACATATTGTCCCCTGAGCACTAATAGAGGTGATCCCTGAGTACAAAGCCAGGAGTCAGCTTTGAGCACTTCAGGGTGTGGCTTAAAGACCAAACAAAAATGATAGGTGACCAATTAAGTTCTCTGCAACCTTATTATGATTCATCTTGGAAATGGTGAATCAAGAGTTTAAAATGGAAAGAGGAGGGAAGAGCAGCTTGAAAGAGTGGACATCGCCCGGGAGAATTTGAATGATTCAGGAGGATATGTGATTCAGTTGACACAGATGCCATCTGGACCCTTAATGTTCTAATCTAGTGCTTATAGAATATATATTCAGGCTCTGGGAGAGTTCAGAGTCGTGATCTAGTTGTGATATGGGTAAATGGAGCGTTCATGGCATTACATTTACCCGTGATGATCGGTAGGATCAGGACGAAGTCTTTGAGTATTTACTTCACAACTCTAGCCACATGAACTTGAAACCTTGAAGGGAAGATCCAAATTATTTGACAGAGAGTGAACTGTTTGTTAGGAAAGGCATCAAGATAGCTTATGACATGGGTGCACACCCAGAAGCTTAGGACTGTGGATTGGGCTAATGAAGATTAGAAGTTATGGCACAGTGAGGCTGCCTGATGGCTGAGATTGGATCTGTGTTCGATACCACATAACTTGAAGCCTTACTTAGTCCTTTTCCTTTGTGGGAATATATCTGGGTTTCCATGTTGGAACTTGCATGGTAGTGAGACTAGCAGCACTATAAATGGTTGGCTAATAAACATTTTGGCAGTGCAGAGATTGAGCCCAAAGCTTGGATCTGAGACAGTTTTCCAGATGAAGTATTATCTGGGGTACATAATTTCTATAAAAGTAGAATAAATTTTTCATTTGTTTTGCTTGTGTTTTTAAATGAAAGAAAGAGGACCATTCCAGGTAATATAAACAATACAGGCAATATTATGACTTAGATTTTGGTTCAGGAGGGTAATTTTAGCCCTGTTAAGGACTTAGTGGGTTAAAATCGTGTAATAATTCAATAATAATCATATAATAATTCAGTAATCCTCCAGATGGAGAAGAGCAAACGAGGAAGAGATAATACTTAGAATTTTCTAGAATTTGAGAAAGACATGTCACAGCAATGAAAGAACCTATGCTTCATTAGGAAGCACTTTGAGCAACTGGCTCAGCAGCTGCTGTCATCTTTTAAAATAATTATTACCATCTAAGATAGTTTCCCCTTTATTAATAATGTAATCAATTGAAATCTATTTTTAGTATTGTTCCTAAATGAATTATAGAGCATGGCAATTTCTATATTTAATATGATAGAGTGTTGTTGTCATCAAATAATGAATCAGACACAGAACAGCCTTTTAAATAGTAGGGTTATTATAAAAAGATTAAATTTCTTCACAGTTTGAGAACTGTTCATCAAGCACATCAGAAGATTCTTTGAAGCACATTTATTTCTCAGACTTCGAGCTCGCTGGCAATTTGATGAGTTATTCAAACCCATTAGTCTATGAAGAATGTGATCAGGAGCCAGGAAACATATGGTTTCATCATTCTGTTCTTTTTTTCTTTTGATCATAATGTGCTCCTTTCACATACAGAGGCCAGGATGTGCTTTAAGCCCCTGGAGCATGTTTCCCTGAAGGTGGCTCTTAAAATTCTATGTTCTGCCAACTGAGAAATGTGTGTTTACCAATACACTATAAATAATTGAGAGTAATCTTAATCCTTAGTTCTTAATAATTTGTTGGTTTGTTTTATGAATTTATCATGTGATTAAATTGTGATCTTTTGGGTGTAACTTCTTTTCATTAACACATAGTACAAGTGGGTATGCTTATATATGTCTTAGTATGTTTGGTGCTTGAGTCATTCTGTAGTCCGACGTTTGTGATCTCACAGAATACCTTTTAATACACTTTTTTCTTATCAGCTGGATTTAAATTTTTTTTAATCTTGAGACTTTTATTATTAGCTCTTCAGATATTAAGAGGATGGCATTGTTTTCATGAAAATCAAAAGTTAGTTTTAATTTAGTTGAATCTAGTGTGGATTTTTTTTTTCTTTTTGGGTCACACCCAGTGATGCTCCGGGGTTACTCCTGGCTCTGCACTCAGGAATCACTCCTGGCGGTGCTCAGGGGACCATATGGGATGCTGGATTGGCTCCATGCAAGGCAAACGCCCTACCCGCTGTGCTATTGCTCCAGCCCGGTTTTTTTTTTTAACAGCAAGAGTTAACGATGTGATAACCTGTAGTAGAAAGCAGTTTAATCTTACAAAGTTTTCCATTTGTAAAGTTTTTTGAAATCTGAGATTATAATTCCAACAACTACTATTACGTGTTTGTGTGTTCGTGTGTTCAGCTTAGACTATGAGAGTTCATATGTATACATGTGTGAATGTGTGTCCTAGGTATGAGAATTCATGTATACTGTGTGTGTTGGGGGAGGAGGGGTTAGCTTAGGCTATGACAACTCATATTGTATATAAGGGTGTATTTGTTTGTGAGGGGTGGTACAACCTAGGCTAAGAAAGTTTATGTGAAAGGAACTCTGACCTAGATTTCTACTCTGCCATGAAATGTACATACTTTGGAGTGAGTTGAACTAGGTGAAGTCTAAGGTGTATACTTACAGGAAATAGAGAAAACCCTGGTTACCTTAGATGCAAGTAAATTATGAGCATGTAAATTATTCCATGTTTCTTGATCTAATGACCCGTAGTCTTAGTTGGTTTTGATTTCTTATATTGTCAGCCCCTTGCCAAGTAGAAGAGTCAACCATTGCTGGCATTAAGTAGCAACTCTGACTTGAATTCTAAGTCTCTAGCAAAAGTCACTTTCCAGTTTCTTTACTTTAAAAGAGACTTCCTCTATCCTTCTTTCACCCTCCCTTGCTGGCAATTTGTGTTTTGATTTAGAAACCAAATCTGGTCCTGCTTATTGTTTTTGAGTTTTCGTAGTTTTCCTGTTCACTGAATTGTCTCTTATTTGTTTCTTAGTTTACTTTTTAATTGATGCTCTGTCCTGCTGGATGTCTAAACTTGCTTTATGACATTAACTGGAGGTAAATGTGAAACTTTTCTCTTCATAAAATCATAGTCAGATTTTGCTATGATCCGAAGCTTGATTTGTTTAGAGGAGGCTATTTATTCCTTGCCATGTCTATTATTTGTGATTTCATTTTAAATATTTACGTTAATTACTATAATTGCATTTTTATCATAACAAATAAAATTTATCTGTATTCTAGAATTTTTGTAAAGCCAGCAAAGCATCTTTATGTATGTATAGTCATACACACAAAGAGAGATACATGCTCACACATATCCTCAGAATTACTTGTAATTCCATGGCCCAGAAATCGCTACTCAATTCTTTGGTATGTATTATTGTAGTATTACACATACCAATCCACATACTGGTGCTCATATATATTTTCTTTTTATTGCACCACTATGAGATACGAAATCACAAAATTGTTCATGATTGAGTTTCAGTCGTATGGTGTTGAAGCACCCATCCCTTTACCATTTACACTTCCCTCCACCAATGCCCCTGGTCTCCCTGTTATTCCCCAGCTTTCCTTTATGGCAGGCACTTTTCTCCTCCTTTTAGGCTCTGTGGTTTTCAGTACTGTTACTGAGAGTAATGTCATGTATATCACTTTACCTCCTTTCAGCACCCAGTTCTTGTCTAGAGTGATCACCTCCAACTATTATTGTCAGAATTACCCCTTCTCTGACCTGCCTCCCCACCTTTGTGGCAAGCTTTCTACTGAGACCAGTCCTGGCCTTTTCGATAGTGTTTGGGTACTCATCTTTAAAAGAAAACAAACCCAGTCTCGTTTTGTAGGTGAAGCTGTGACTGCTGGAGATGCCTTATGTGAAATAGAGACGGATAAAGCTGTGGTTACCTTAGATGCAGGTGATGATGGCATCTTGGCCAAAATAGTGGTAAGTTTTTATTTTGATTGTCTTCAGAAGGATAAAATGCCTTCAATACCCTGAAATGAAGTTTCTTTCTATTCTTACCTCTTACTCTTATATATGTGTCAATTGAGAATATTCTTCTCTAAGTGATTGGTTACTTCTCACCAAAACTGTTGAGCTACAACTTGGATACTCTAATGAGATTAGTGGAAGTCTAAGTTTGTACAGCCCTTAGCCAAAATCTTGTATCTGCTTGAGAGGGTACTTAGATAACAGAAGAATAGCATAATAAAAATAAATATTAAAAAATATCATGATTAAAAATAAATACAAAACATTTACAGAAAAAGTACTGTGCTTTCCTCATATGTGTTATACTTTAATAAAACTTAACTCTTTTGAATAGCTTTTAAATTGTCTATGGACAGTGATAATAATAATATTTTAATACTTTAAAGAAAAGCATGCGTGCGTAGAAAGATTAAAATAAAATGTTATAAAAATGAGTTCCTTGGGAAGTGGAATTAAATGATTCTCCCTTTAATATCACACTTTTTCTATTTTCCAGTATTCTAAATTTTTTTTAGATAACTTATTTTTGGGCTGGAGCGATAGCACAGTGGGTAGGGTGTTTGCCTTGCAAGCGGCCAACATGGCCGACCCGGGTTCGAGTCCTCCGCCCCTCTCAGAGAGCCCGGCAAGCTACCAAGAGTATCTCGCCCACACGGCAAAGCCTGGCAAGCTACCCGTGACATATTCAGTAAGCCAAACACAGTAACAGTTGTCACAATGGAGATGTTACTGGGTCCGCTCGAGCAAATCGAGGAACAACAGGAGGACAGTGACAGTGAACTTATTTTTACTAGATTATTAATGTGTGAAAGTAAAATGGATTGCTTAGTGCATCATTATTTAAAGTTATACATACAGCACTGATGGAGCATGTTTGTTTCTTTTAATACTAGAATATTTAGCAGATGGTGTGCAATTAAGATTGTAGATTCTGGAGTCACACTTGTGAGGTCTACAAGTAAATAGTTACATAATGGCGGGCAGCTTCTTTACATCTGCATTTTTCTTATAAAGAAGAGATGGTAATAGAATTTATATCTTTGGATAGCACTGTCGCACTGCCTCCCCTTGTTCATCGATTTGCTTGGGCAGACACCGTAATATCTCCACTGTGAAACTTGTTACTGTTTTTGACATATCGAATATGCCAGGGGGAGCTTGCAGGCTCTGCCATGCAGGTGGGATACTCTCGGGCTCTCCGAGAGGGACAGAAGAATCGAACCCAGGTCGGCCGTGTGCAAGACAAACAACCTACCCTCTGTGCTATTGCTCCAGCCCACATCTTTGGATAGTAGTGAAAATTAAGTGAAATAATACAGGGCCTGGCATCCACTAGGTGTCAATAAATGTTGCTGTGACCATTATTATTATAGGTGTTTATGAAAATCTTGGTGACTTAACATTTATGTCAGTCTCATGATTTGTATTGATTGTTGGTGTTTGTAAAGTAAGTTTCCACTGGTGCCTCTGTAGTTTGATTTCTACAGATAAGATGCACATCTGTTATTCTGTTATTTTGATGCATTTTAAATTATCATCTGTCAGCTCACCTCTGTTCCGAAATCACTTCTGTTTTATTTTTGACATCTTGGCTCAGTCTGTTTGTCACCTGTGATATTAAGAGACATAGAAAGCTAAAATTTCTGTACTTTTATAACTAGGAAAATATAAATAATCATACTAGTCTTCTGACTAATTTATGTGGCATTTAGGTAAAGAAAAAAATTGTTTTAATCACCGTATGTAATAAGCCCAGCTTCATCTTATTGTGTGCATCTTTGGCAAGCTGTGTTCTTGGCCCTAGTTCTGAATTGCTTGACTATGAAAGTCTTCCAGAATTCATAGCATTTTCCACTTAGCTGCTCAGTAATGTATTTTAAATTGCTAACGATGTTGCAGGTTCATAGGGCCTATTTATCTCCCCCTAATGCTCTGATAAGGTGGGGGACTGGAAGATAGAATGGATAACCACGTTAGCAGAACAAATAGTTATTTCCTCACTAAAGAAAAGATTATGTGTCTGTTTTAGGGCTTTGCAGCTTTATTTTTATTCAGCATTCTTCTTGGATAATAGGAATGGAAGTGTATTTATGACATAACGTATCTACTTCTGTGGGGGAAAAGAGAAGAAAAGCATAAATGTGATATTACTAGTGTCTTGTTTTTTTAGCTTCACCACACTCCATTTCCAAGCTCCCTGTGAGCAGGTTCAACCTTTGTTTTTCATTGTGAACTACTGTTCATTTTATTGACACACATAATAAAAAGATTTTTGTAGGAATACACATGAGATGTTTACTTTTAAGAATAAAAGAGGTGCATTACTGAACCTTAAAGACAAGTGTTGATATTAAACTCCAGTTTTTATGTTTCCCCACATTTTTGAAGAAAGTATAGATACTAAAATTATTAAAATAAATATGTAAATTACAAGTTTTAATTTTTCTAATTGCAATTAGAAATATGAATTATGATGTAGAAATTTTAAAAGAATCTATTTCTAGTCTAAGGGGTTTTTGTATTTTTTTTCTCAGTTTCATTCTTTGCATTCTTAAAGGTTTTACATCTGAATTCCATTACAAATAGAAAATGATACTGCATTTTAATTAGAACCAGAAACAAAGCTTAGAGGCTGCTAATGATGTTAAATAATAATTGAACTGCAAACAGTTGAATAATTGTCTACATTGTTAGTGTAGATATTTTATAATTTATTTCCAATTTAGTTCCAATTTACTTCATTTAATGGGAGTGTTAAGTTATCTTGTAGTCCTTATTAGATCACTATTAATTTATTTTGCAGAAAATCTTAAACTGTTAGATAATAGTTCTCAGCTTAGTCTTAAAAATGAATTTTTCAGCACATTGAACCACCAGGTATTTTAGATGACATTTAATAAGATGGACTATTACAATGAATATTTGAAGAATTTATTACAGATTGTCTGATTTGGCTTCTTTCATATTTAGGGTCATTATGTAAATTGTCCTAAACCTGGAAACCTGTGACAGTGTAATGGGTAAGGAATATTATGACTAAAACAGAATTTTTTCTAAACTTTTTTACTAGTAATTTAGTCATTGGTAAATTTTTATTTCATTGGTAGACCACTGTTTAAAACCACTTTTCAAAGCAGGATTCTTTTTCAAAGCTAACATAAGGCAAAGATGTGGACCAGTGGTAAAGCACTTGTCTCTTCATGACTTTCCATCTGAATTCTATAAAAAAAAATAAAATAAATAAATAAATAAGCACTTGTCTCATGAGTCCTATCCCAGGTTTGATCTCCAACACTGCAGTAAAGCTAATGTGTATGGATATTGAAGCAAATAAAGCAACATTTTCTTATAGTGGTTATCTGAATATCAGTAGATGTAATAATTATTTGGGCAGGACTGGAGAGAGAGCTCAAGTGTTAGAGCACAAGGTTCTGAGGTCCATCTTGTGAAGCCCTCGTGGTTCCAGGAATTGCCAAGGCTTAGGTTGCTCATTGTCTCTGGGGTCCAGCGTTGTCTCTGGGTCTAGTGTCAAGCACAAGTCACCTCTAGACTGAGCATTGCTGATAGTGGTCCTGCTCCCTGCCCCCAGTTCCACTATGTTAAAAAAAATTGCTATTTTTGTTATTATATACGTACTTCAATCAATTTTCAATCTGTGTTTCACTCTAATAGTACCTCACTGCTATTTTTCCTAAGACCATATGTTTTACATATGTTTCTGCATTATTTTTAGGTTCCTCCTCCCCTTGTTTTTCATTTAATTGTCTGAAATTGCCTTCATGTTTGAATTTTATACTTTGAACATTTATGGTTGAAAGTTGAAGTTTTGAAACCTTCGAGTCTTTTCTGCAGGCAGTATTTTTAATTGTGTTTTATGCTCTCAAAACTCAAGAGCAAATTTCATTCAACAGATCATGTTCTCAGTTCTCATTGCTTAATATTGAAATGGCAAATTCTATAATCAAGTGGAAAATGGTCTATTCTACCCATGAATTAAAAGCTAAATCATTCGTAGTGTATTCTATATCTTCTCTTTTAAGCTTGTTTTTTATTTCTTCTAGTTCCCTGTGCACCTATTCCAAAACCACATCCATTACCAGTGTACTCACCTTCCTCCATCAAACGTCCCACTATCCCTCCTTTCAGCATCTTCCCTACCCTACAAACAGTTCTTTAGATCACTTTTCCCCTCACATTACTTTTGGCTCTTTGTCACTGCCTTGCTTTGTATCTTAAAGTCTCATATATGAGTGAGACCATTCTCTATCCTTCTTCTGGCTGAACTCGCTTAGAATGATATCCTCAAGTTTCTTCGGTGTTGAATCTTTCAAGCTTGTTTTTAGAAACATCAGTATCCTCCTTGAAGGGCATTATTTTGGTCATGGGAGTGCAATTTATAGATTTGGTATTGAACATACCTGTTGTCAAACTGCATTTGGATCCTGTCTTGGATACTTACTAGCCATATAATTGAGAACAGGTTATTTTTTTTCCTAGACTCAGTTTTTTCATTTGTAAATGGAAATTAACAATAGCACTTACCTCACATGCTTGTGAGGGAAATCAAATAAAGTTAATAATATACTAGAACAAACAGTCCCTGGCACTTGAATGCCAAATAGACTATTATTTAAGAACTTAATTTTACTGCATTTTAGCTATCAAAATTTCTCAGCTTTCCTTTTAAACCAGAGTTCATCAAACATATAACAAATATAACCATGTAAATTCAAGAATAGAAAAGAACTTAAAATTGTATAATAGTTTCAGCTCTGATGGAGAAGTGTTAACTGAGTTTTCAGATCCACTAAGTCAAATGAGTTTAGTCTGTTCATGATTTACTTCTGAAATCAGAGGAGTCTGTGTACCTTCCGGTAGCTTGGCTGGGGACTCATGCTTTAATTCTCAGGCACTTTCAAACTACTGTGTTTAAAAAAAGAAAATTACTTAAGTAATCACTTAACCTTCCTTCTCTCTCTCTCTCTCTCTCTCTCTCTCTCTCTCTCTCTCGTTATTGGGCAACATCTGGCTTGCCAGGGCTTACTCCTGACTCCTTACTCAGGTATACCCTCATAAACTTAGGTGGGTTGTGTTTTAGCAGAACCAAGTTTAAAAATCTTGCATTTACTATTACAAATCTGTGGCATAAGAGCTGGAGAGGGCTTTGATCAGGTGCAGCACGTGGCAGGAGCAGTGCAGAAGAGCAGTAATAAAGGCTAGTTTGGAATCCAAACACTTTTCAAAAGTGCGTTACTCACTTCAGTTACTAAAGTACATACTAGATTTAAATTTTGTTCACAGAGATTAAATCCAAAGCTCACACATGCAAATTGTACTCTCTACCAGTACTCATGCATGCAAATTACACTCTACCACTAAACTTCATCCCTGGGGATCACAGCTTTAAATATTTAACTATTTGCAGATTACAATGTAAGGAAATCTTGTGTGGGAAACTAGGACAGATCTAAAAACAATTGCACTAAAGCAATAGAGACAATATCTTGAACTCATATAGTGATGTAATGTTATTAAGTTCAAGTTGTATGATAATGTATCACATGCTTTGAACATTACTTTTGCGGTTCACATGATGTCACTTTTTTATGGGAAATATGAGTAGGTAAATTTTAGTTAATGTCACTTCACTTAATCACTTAACTTCCCGTTAGTCGTCGATTTGCTCGAGCGGGCGCCAGTAACGTCTCCATTTGTCCCTGTCGCATGCTAGTGTAGCCCAATGGCATCTCTTCGCTCCGGGAACATGGAGGGCCTCAAACCGATCGTTCATGATCTTGACAAAGAAGTCTGACCATCTGGTAGGTGGGCGGCCACGCGGTCTCTTGACATCCCGTGGAATCCAATCAGTAACAGCTCTAGTCCAACGGTCGTCTTTAAATCTCATTACGTGACCAGCCCATCTGATTTTCGACACCTTGGCATATGAGACAGCGTCCCTGATCCTTGATCATCGACGGATGTCAGAACTCCGGATTCGTTCTCTCATTTGAGTGAAACGTGATATTCCAAGCATAGCTCTTTCTATTCTTCTTTGGGAGACCTGAATGGCGTTCTCATCTTGTTTGCGTAGGGCCCAGGTCTCTGAGGCATATGTTAATGCAGGAAGAACAGTGGAATCAAAGAGATGTGCCCGGAGCCGGAGGTTCTTCGTCCTCTTAGCTATTTCTTCGACGTTCTTGACTTCTACTCAAATCTCTTCGATAGCCATGTCCACTTGCCGACATACCAAATTCCACAGGATGGGTATGTCGTTCCTAACGTTCTCCCTTCCGAAATCCGACACGCCATTTCGTTGGTAAAGAAGCAAACAGCACCCGGCCCAGACAAGATCAGACCTGAACACCTGAAGAACCTGCCGTCAGTACTCATCAATACACTGGCTCGGCTCTTCACTCGCTACCTGTCTGAATGCAAGGTTCCGTCCCAATGGAAAACCAGCAGGACCGTACTACTGTTCAAGAAGGGAGACATCCATGACATTGGCAACTATCGCCCGATCTGCCTATTGTCTGTCATCTACAAGCTGTTCACTCGAGTCATCCTGAATAGGATTGGCAGAACACTAGATGAAGGACAACCATGCGAGCAAGCAGGGTTCCGCAAAGGATTCAGCACCATCGACCATATCCACACGGTAACCAAGCTCATTGAGGTTTCTCAGGAGTTCAAGATGCCGCTCTGCTTAACGTTCATTGATTTAAAGAAGGCCTTTGATTCTGTTGAGACGGAAGCGGTCATTGAAGCCCTAGCCAATCAGGGCATTCAAGCCCAATACATCAAGATCCTCCGTGAGCTGTATTGCGGATTCACTACCAGGATCTCACCATTCTACAAAGAAGTGATCGTTGATGTCAAGAGAGGGGTGCGGCAGGGTGATACCATTTCACCGAAACTCTTCAGTGCCACCCTCGAGAACATCATGCGACGACTTGAATGGGAAGGAATGGGAGTGAAGATAGATGGTCGGCAACTACACCACCTCCGCTTTGCTGATGACATTGTTTTAATAACACCAAACATCAGCCAAGCGGCACAAATGCTGGCTGACTTTGACCGTGAGTGTGGAAAGGTAGGACTACAGCTGAATCTTACGAAGACAATGTTTATGAGAAACAGCCTTGTTCCTGACGCCCCATTCGCTCTCAATGGAACGACCATCTCCGAATGCAACAGCTATGTGTACCTAGGTCGAGAGGTCAACATGACAAATGACCTGGCACCCGAGCTGCGCAGGAGGAAGAGAGCGGCTTGGAACGCCTTAGTTAATGTATGTGGTGAAAATTGAGATATGCTAAATATAATGTGTGTGCATAGCCTGGCAGGCTCCCTATGATGTATCCGATATGCCAAAAACAGTAACAACAAGTCTCAGAATTTGTTGTGAGACTTTACTGGTGCCTGCTCAAGCAAATTGATGAGTAACGAGAGGACAGTGCTACAGTATAGAAAAAAATTTTAGTCTCTTAATCTTAACATTTGTGAGTTGAGTGGAGATAAATAAGCAGTCTGCAGAAATATAACTTTGTCTTATGTAACAAACACCAACTATTCCTGGGTTAGTGTTTCTCCTCAGTTTGCAATTCAAACATCCTTCCTTAGTTTTGTAGTTAATTTTTAAATATATTTTGTTTCATCCAAAAATTGTTGCTATTCCTTTTGAAAGCTTAGGTTTTCTAACTTCTAGAACTTATGTTGTTATTTTAAGATTAGTCCATGTAGTGAGTACTATGTAGCTCTTAGAAAAGATGAAGTCATGAACTTTACATACAAGTGGTACAATATGGAAAGTATCATGCTAAGCGAAATGAGTCAGAAAGAGAGGGATAGACATAGAAAGATTGCATTCATCTGGGGGATATAAAGTAACAAAATATGAGATTAATACCCAAGAATAGCTGAGATCAACACCAGGAGGATTACTCCATAGCTTAGAGGCCAGCTGGGTATTCTAGGGGAAAGGGAAGCTCAGATAGAGAAGGGAGCACCAAATAAAGGGTGTTTGGAGGATCCTCCCAGGAGGGGAGATGCATGTCGAAAGTAGACTATGGACTGAACATGTTTGCCACTCAATGCCTCTTTTGCAGACCACAACACCCAAAAGGAGAGAGAGAACAAAGGGGAATGCCCTGCCAGAGGCAGGGTGGGAGGGGGGTGGGGGGAAATGGGCACTGGTGGAGGGATGGGTATTTGATCACTGTATGACCGAAACCCAAGCACAAAGATTTGTAAATCTACAACTATACCTCATGGTGCTTCACTAAAAAAAAAAAAAAAAAAAAAAAGATTAGTCCATGTAGTAATAAGTATCAAAATTAGTGTTATTTAGAAATGTCAAACCCTTTCTAAGAATTATGCTGTTACTTATAATTACTGTATTAGCGAACATCCTGTATTTAGTGTATTATTCTATTATTCATTAAATTACATCTGTAATGAATTTTATTGAAAGTAATTGAAAAGAATAATAGAAAATTTTAAAGAAATGACATTTTCTTCCAGTATTGAACTTATAAAATTTTATATTTTCTCTAAAGGCTCTCCTGGGGACTTATTTTAATCAGCAAATTAGAATCAGCGTTCTTCATAAATTAGCCATTGAAACACTTAAAATATAACTAAGATTTAAAAAATTATTCTTGATCTTATTTGTGCAATTATCTAGGAAAAATTTTTTGCTTAGTTGAAACACTGCTGTTTCTGATGTACTTATAAAATATTCAAAAGGCTTTTATTTCCAAGTTTTGTAGAGATACAGAAAGAATTAAGAATAAAGAAAGACTGAAACTCGCTTCACAATAACCAGAGTAGTCAAACAGTTCTCTAGATATAGTGGGATACTTATATTTTTTTCCCAGAAAATAAATTTATTGAAAAGATTTTACTTTGTTTTTTTAATTGACTAAGAGAGTTAATGCCTTATAAACTCTTGAAATTTATTAATCATTCTATAAAAATTAACAGGGAAGGCAAATAGTTGATATATAACAAGTCTTCTGTTTTAGATTTGTGAAAAGGAAGAGAATAATGGCTTTAATATATTTGAAGACTCAGAAAAAGGAATGAATCTTGATTTTTCCCTTTATTTTAAGAGGTAGTACTAGTAAGTGGCAGAGGCAAGGTGGTGAATCATATATGGGAACTGATAGCAATGGAGTGGGGTGCTGGGCTAGTGGGGGCCTCAAAGAAAGAGGCAGGCTATGTAGATGTGAATTTTCATCTTTTTAATCAACACTGTTGTCTAATAGATGCAAAGTCATGAGCCTTTCTGGTTCTATAATAACTTTTTTTTTGAAATATAGGTTGAAGAAGGATCTAAGGGTATACGGCTAGGTTCACTAATTGGCTTACTAGTTGAAGAAGGGGAAGATTGGAAAAATGTTCAAATTCCCAAAGATGTGGGTCCTCCTCCTCCAGCCTCAAAACCAACAGTGCCTCATCCTTCACCAGAGCCACAGATTTCCACCCCTGTTACAAAGACACCCACAACCGGGCAACTGCCGTAAGTGTTTATTTGAATGATAATACAAGAAAGTGTTGTGTCTGGTTTTAGGGTATTTTTTTGTCATCGTATTGAAAGCATTTTGATGCATTATGTCACTGTAGTCCTTTCCCCTTTCTCACAGAAGCCAGCAGTGATTAGTTTGCCATCATTCTTCACTCAAAAACTTAGTCATTGAATACCAGTGATGGTTTAGGTGCTGTGAAAGGGTTGTTTACCACAGTGGGGGACTTAATAGCCTGTCCGAGCCAATCTTAAATTAGGTTCCAAGATTCCAGAATGGAATTCCTTTTCCTGAAATTCATGTTCTCTTCCCAGTAGTGGAATACTCATGACTGTAATGTGAATTCCAAATTCAAATTCATAATTGGTATTAAATGAAATTAGTAGTTTAGCATGTTTTTCCTGTTATATGCATTGGACTTTCTATCACTGATGGAGAGTTCAGTTCAGATTTGTCTCATTCTTTTGTAATAATCCAGACTAGTAAACATTGTTTACCTCAGCTTTATGTGGCTTTAACTAATGGACTCTGAAAATTCTAACAAGTTTAATTTATCGATTTTAATATCCTCTGATTTACTTTTTCATTAGAAGAGGCTCCTTTTAGTGGGCTGGAGCAAGAGTTCAGCAGGTCAGGTGCTTGCCTTGCACATGGTCCATCCCATTTCAGTCTCTGGTGCCACATATGGTCCCTGGAGCCCCTCAGGAAGTGATCCCTAGTCTAGAGTGAGGAGTAAACCCTGAGTACAACTGGATGTGGCTTAGAAAAAGAAAAAAATTTCTTATACGGAAAAGGTCCTATTGTGTTGTTATTTTTCCTTCAATAACCTTCAGTGTCAGTGGTCAGAAAAAATTGAGTGTTTTAAGATGTACTAAGTTTTACATTCCCATTAAACACACACTCTTTCTGGTTGTTTGCCTTGAGAAATGCCAGGTAGACTCATGGATGTTTTGTTCCTTTCCCTCTTGTGAAAACACTAGTGTGTTCTGTCAATGTGTTGAGGCCCATCATTAGAAATGTGTGTGTATGAAGCCCTACAATGTGAGTTAAAAACCAGCTGATCTGTGAACTTGCAGTGTTGATAGCTTTGCTAAAAGTTTTCATTGCTGGGTTGCTAATTAACCTTACATAAAAAATTAAAATGGCAGTTTCTTTTTGAAAAAATCTGAAGATTTGGTAAGGCTATGCATCTAGAGCTGTTTCCCTAAAGCAAAGCAAGTGCCACATTTATTTTCTGTTCCTAGTATAAACTTCTGTCCATTTCATTCATTTTTTTATATGACTGAGTCATTTATGGGTTTTTTTTTTTTTGAGTCATTTATGTTTGTTGCTTTACTTAATGGTCTTAATTGAAGAGGTAACATTTAGTAGTTGCTTGATCTTTTGGTAGACCTTGACTCTCAAGTTTATGTAGCAACAGATGAGCATTGCTTTGGTCTCACTATCTTTTCTATAACATATTTAAGTAAAAATGCTTTTATATATGTTTGTATAAACACTGAAATCTTTTAAAATGTGTGTGAAAGATTGAGTTCAGCCACAACAGAACAACCTAATTAAAATACACAAAGCCATTTCTTCCTCAGTGGTACAGATGGCTAGGAAGTACATGAAAAGATGCTCATGTCACCATTGTTCGGAAATGCAAATCAGAACCACAAGGAGATAACACTTCACACATACTAGCATGGCTCCTCCTCCCCAAAATAGGAAACAGCAAGTATTGACAAATATGGAGAGAAATTAGAACTTTCATGCAGTGTTTATAGAAATGCAAGATGGTAAAGTTGCCATGGAAAACAACAGGTCAGTTCTTTAAAAATTTAAAACTAGAATTACAGTATGGTCCAGCAATTCCTTATCTGCATATGTACTGAGAGCAGAGATTCAAAGCACTGTTTCTACATCCCCCTATGTTTATGTAAAAAGTATTATTCATAATAACCAAAAAAGGTGGAGATAACCCATATCTCCCAAAAGTACTATGTACCTCCAATGGAATGTTAATTCATTCTTAATAAAGGAAATGATGACAGCACACTCTAAGATAGATGAACCCTTGTAGTCATTAAACGAGTTAAAATAAGTCATTACAAAGTTCCAAATACTAAATGATTCTATTTCTAGGTTTTAGCTTCTTAAACTTTTATTTAAAGGTGGTCCCTTTTGCTCAAGAAGTACAGCATGAGTGAGCAGTGCCAGAAGTACCTCAGATCCATTATGCATTTTATTTTCAATTGATTGTTGGTTGTCACACTTTCAGAAATCTTTTACGGATATGTCACCACCTTGTGACCCATGGTGTAAGAAGCTGGGACTTAGAGTAGTCAGATTACTCTAGAGAAAGTTAAATCATGTTTGCCAGTAGTTGGGAAGAGGAAGGACTGAGAAATTACCATTTAGTTGGTGCAGAATTTTAGTTTGGAAAGATGACAGAGTTTTACAGATGGATCGTGGTAATAGTTATACAAGAGTGTGACTGTGCTTAATGCCACTTAATAGTACACCTAAAAATGGTCAAAGTAGTAACATATCTTACCATAGAAAAATAAAGAAGCAGTATTTTTTTAATTGATGTGTGACATGAGGTGCCATATGAAAAATTTTTAGTCAGAGGTGTTTTGTTTAACATATGCAAATATAATTATACGGTAATAGTTAATTTTGTATGAAAATGTTTCAGTAGTAAAGCAGAATTTTAGCTTATTATTTTTCTCTTCCTAATTAGCAGCAAAACTGTTGACATTTAGATATGGTTGACTCAAATATATAAAGTGTTAATTGGTTCCATTAATCTTCATATTTTCTTTTTAGGATCCGTTTAAGTCCAGCTGCCCGAAATATTCTGGAAAAACATGCATTGGATGCTAGCCAGGGCACAGCTACTGGCCCTCGGGGAATATTCACTAAAGAGTATGTGTGTGCTTTTTGTATTAACTAATTCCATTATTTATCATGATCATCTTTTCCTCAAAATATTCAAGGAAAAGCTTATTCAGTGTTAAGATTTAAAAGGAAGTACGCTGTTCTTTTAATTGCTTTAGTCAGTATAAAATTGTATTCTATGCAAGGGTTGTTTTCTGAATAATTGCAGCATTACTGAAGAACAATTCTAATTTGGTAACTACGCCAGAATTTTAGGAATGGCAGTAGAGGCAGAAAATTAGAGTACAGGCTGGTGAAACTTTATTGTTTTGAATTTGTATTAAAATAATCACGTATTCATTTAAATTTCTAGAACATGGAAATACACTCAGAAATAATTGCACTTTTTTACTTCAAATTTATTCACTCACATTATCAAAGCAGTTCCAAAATGCTGTTGGAACTCTTTTTGGATTCTCTTTTCCATTCCAGTGATCTTTTACTGATTGAAGTAACTTTGGGAGAACTGACATTCTTTTTCAAAATTTTTTTTTATACTTAATTGCCATGAATTTCAGACTTAAAAAGTTATTTGTGATTGAATTTCAGGTATACAGTCTTCAAACCCCAATCCCTTCACTAGTTTCCACTTCACCAGTTGTCCCTGGTTTCCCTCCCACCCCGTAGACTGCTTCTATGGCAGACACTTTTTCTTCTTTCCTTTCTTTTCCCCTTTCAGGGACTGTGGTTCACAATACTATACTGATTAGGTGTCATGCATATTCTTTTAACCATTCAGCACCTAGACCTAGTCCAGGTGACCACTTCCCTCTATCCTTGGCAGTGTTGTCCCTTCCCTGACCTGTCCTTCCACTTGGCCCCCCACTTTCAAGCTTCCTACTAAGAATCAATACTCTGTTCATCACGCCGATGAGTTCATTTTGTATGTGTCCCTCTCCCTGTGACTCATTTCATTCAGTGTAACACTCTACAGATCTATCTATGTATTAACTGTTGTGTGACTTCATCATTTCTTGTGGCTGACTAGTATTCCATTGTATATATGTACCATAGCTTCTTTATCTGACCATCTAGAACTGACATTGCTGTGATGGAACACTGGGATAGCCTTCAATTTGTTTAAATTTTGCCTTTTTAGGAATACTGGAATAGATGGTCCCTGCTCTTTGTAAACTTACTGTGGTGGGGAAGGTAAAGGTTAATGCCTATGAACTTGGATAAAATGGATGTAGTGCATATACCATATTCCTATTGTAAGGTAAGGTAAAGGTAAAGGTAAAGGCCCTCCCGTTGATCGTCGATTTGCTCGAGCGGGCCCAGTAACGTCTCCATTGGAGATTTTGTTGTTACTGTGTCTGGCATATCGAATACTCTCGGTAGCTTGCCGGGCTCTCCGAGAGGGGCGGAGGAATCGAACTCGGGTCGGCCATGTTGGCCGCTTGTAAGGTGAACGCCCTACCCGCTGTGCTATCACTCCAGCCCTATTGTAGTTAAATGAATGTTTTCAAATTGAGCTTATATTTTATAATATATGCTTAGTCAGCCTGGCCGAGCCAGTTTCGATTCCTCTGCCCTTCTCAGAGAGCCTGGCAAGCTACCGAGAGTATTCAATATGCCAAACACAGTAACAAGAAGACTCACAATAGAGATGTTACTGGGCCCTCTCGAGCATGTTCATCTGATACTGATAAGAAATGATAAGTAGTAGTGACCAAAATTTCTGTCAGTTGAGATGGAGCAAAGTTTATAAATATACAGATACTGGTGCTGGACCAATTTTTTTTGTTTTTTTCATAAAGCATTTTTTATTGGTGGGGTTTTTTTTAAAAAAAACTGACAACAGTATATAGTACTATTTAATACTTGGATATTTTCATTTGTCTATTACAGTCTTAGTGATTTGTTCAGTATCTGGTTCTCTTAAATACATACTGTGAAATTTATGCCATGGAGCATGGAACTGGAAATCAACATCTTCATCCAAAGGCTGAAAGACAGCATCCAAGAATGTGTATTTTTAGTTAAAAACCTTAAAATTTTTTCTTGATTGTTTAAAAAAAAAATTAAGAGTACTAGAGCCAACTAAAAGTAGTTTTTTTCTTCTAAATTAATCTTTATTTAATATATACAATCTAACTAAATTTTATTTCTCTTCTACTAGTCTCTTCTGTGGGATGGAGCAATAGCACAGTGGGTAGAGCGTTTGCCTTGCACACGGCCAACCTGGCTGACCCAGGTTCGATTCCTCTGCCCCTCCCAGAGAGCCCAGCAAGCTACCAAGAGATCTCGCCCACATGGCAAAGCCTGGCAAGCTACCCGTGATGTATTCGATATGCCAAACACAGTAACAACAAGTCTCACAATGGAGACGTTACTGGGCCCGCTCGAGCAAATCGATGAACAACGCGAGGACGGTGCTACAGTGCCACAGTCTCTTCTGTACATGAAGGAGTAGGGAAATAACTCAAGTGACGGAGCACATGTTCAGCATTTGTGTGAGGCCCTAACCCTAATCCTGGTACCACATTGCTTCCATTCATCCCCTAAGCAAAGCCAGGTGTGGTTCCTATTAAAAAATGAGAAAAAATAAAAAAATTTTGATCAGAGCGTTCATTCCCAAATGGTGCTCAGGATCTGGCAATTCTCAGTGCACTGAACTGGTGGTTTAATGCAAAGGCCCAGGGATGTGTGCTGCAGTGCCAGGGATTTCCCAGACACCATGGATGTGCATAGGGGCTACCAAGGCGGCATTTCAGGATCCATGTGGTGTTAGGGAATGAACCTGAGTCAGCCACATGCAAGGCATGTGCCTTAATACCTATAATAGCAAGTTACTTTAAAACAAAGTAAACATATCTTTATTTCTGGTAGTATACAGGGTGTATTCACTAGTCATTATAGATTTGGTAAAAATAATCATAGCTGGAGCAGAAAAAGCTTGAAGTGAGGAGACTAGTATAATAGTTCAGGTAAGAGTATTCAATAAATACTTATAGTATAGGTAGAAAGTATTACAGGGAGATTGCTGATAGAAATGCGTTCAGAATAGAATGCAGATACCTTTGAAAAGGATTTAATGGGAGCATAGACCGGGATAGGAATAAAGCAATGAGTGATTTGGGGTTTCTAGTCCAGGTAATGAAATTTGGCTCTATAAATAGAAATAAGATATTTGGGGAAACTGTTTTGGTATGTTTGGTTTGAAGCTTACTGTCAGTGTTACTATCAGTGGGGCAGCATTTCAGAAGATAGTTTGGCACTAGAGACATAGGATTTTAGATGGTAATGGACTAGTTATTGAGATCATTGGCAGGCAAACTTTTTGTAAAACAGAAATCTTGTGTTGAAAGACTTCTAGGAGACAGAAACTCAAGGATGATGGAATATGAGAAGAAAAAATTTTGCTGTAATGATTTCATTAGAAAGCAGATTACAACATTACAACAGTAGAATAAAGTAGTTTTCTTGTTTTCCTTTACATTTGTGCCTAAATCATATATAAGAAACATCACTTTTTTTTTCAAAACTGGGGTAAAAGTTTAAAATAGTAATCCAACACTTTCCTAAAGAAAATAGCACTGTCTTTGCTCGATACCCTATGGACAATGTCCATTTTTTTATTTTTATTTTTGCCATCTATCTTTTTCTGTTACCCCCAGTTCTCTTCTCACCTTATTCTTTAGTTATTCACCATAAGAGTTCAGTTTTCAAAATTGACAGTAAAAAGATTGATGAGAAATAGGGATTCCTTAAAGCAGACATTATTGAGGATTTTACTCTGCATGCTTTTAAAGATGTCTGTGTTTTGAATTTAACAGTAAGATGAACTTTGAAAGAAATTTTGAAATGCACTGCATGCCAATTCATCTACAGAAATGTTTTCCTCTGATAAGATTGAAAACTTTCAGGTTTTGGCATCAGCTCTCTCCAAAGTACCTTGGCATACATGCTGGAAGTAGTGAGGAGCATCCATCCTCTCTACCCAATCAATTCAGAGTCAGACAGAATAATTAGGTTCTTGAAGTCAGAAGTCCAGGCCCAATGGCAGTAGGAGTCTCAGCTCATTCTCTCACAAGGGCGAAATCAAGGAGTCTTCTGGGGCTCAGACTTGTTGATACAGCTCAGTTCCTTGGCACAGTAGGACTCTGTTACCCTATTCCTTGATACCTGTCAGCCAGGGATAGACCATGCTCTGCTCCTGAAAGACTCCTTCATGCATGCCTTTTCCATGTGGTCAAACCAGAGGTATTCACAAGTAACCTATTAATTTCTTCATCATAGCTGGAGAGTCTCTGTTCACATTTTTCCTTTAAGGAATTCTCAGTTTCTGTTGAATTAGTGACACTCACCTGTATGTTCATAGGCCCATCTACACTCGAGGATTTTTGGACATGTTTTGCACAAGGAACAGGCATCTTAGTGCCATTTCAGAATTCTGCTGACAATGCTGCCATAAGATAGAAGTAAAAGGTTTCGTTTTGTGAAGGATAGCTACCATCTAATATGTATTTAACAAATTGGCTGGGTTTTACCCTTCAGTAATACTTTGACAAGTAATACCAAGGTATTAACTGTGACTGAGAAATCTTTACCAGTTTGCTTTTATACTGTTGTTACCTAGAGTTGTTTTTATTTTAAAATTCAAAAGCTTTAGATTTTTAAAGAATTTTTAAATGTAAAGCTTTTTTATTTGAAAAAGGTGTACCTGTACTAATTGGGATACTTTAAAGTTTTCAGAAATTATCTTCTTTTGCTTAAAAATATTTATTTCTCTGTACTTATTCTAATTTAGCATAGTTTCACACCTTGGCATATTCAGTAGTCTAATTTTCTGATTATGTCTTTTTTTAAAATATATACCTTTTTTTTAAAAAAAAAAAAAAGGGAGGGGGAGGCTAATACAAAGACCAGTCTGTTATTAGGTATACTTTTCAATCTGACTGATGCTAAAAATTAGTTTTAATATAATAGATTGTGTTCGTAATGTTTGAGCAAAATTTTAAATGGTGTGATTTCCTGGCTACAATTAAGCTCTAGAACAAAATGACTTTATAGATGTCCTAGTGAAAATTATGTGTATAATAAACTTGATACTTCCTGAATGTTGTTATTTATGAAACATAAAATTATAGGTACAAAGAATAAGGGTACAGTACAGTTTACAATTGAAAGAAAGACTAAATCCTTTTTAAAAATAGGATTAACCTTTTGATTGAAAAAAATTCTATACTTTGGTTCTGAAAATGTGTAGGTATTGTAACCTTTGAACAAATGATATGGACCAGGAAAAAGGTTTACTTAGCTAGCTCTAGTAATTTTGTGTTATAATAACCTTAATATCTATATCTTTTTATATCTGTCTTCTACATTTCTTCTCTACTTTCCAGTGTTCCTCTTACATTCTTTTTGGCTAATAATGTTTCTCTAATATTCTCTTCAGAGATGCTCTCAAACTGGTTCAGCTAAAGGAGATGGGCAAGATCACTGAATCCAGACCACGGCCAGCCCCTTCAGCTATTCCCACAGAGCCTGTGTCCCCCCAGGCCACCGCCACACCACCTCATGGTCGCCCAATGATCCCACCAATTTCAACGCCTGGCAAGCCCAACGTCCCGGTAATGTTGTCTAAATGGGTTTTTATTCTTAAGATTAAAATGAGAGAAATCGGGAACCATAATTGTACATTGTATGAATTCTTTTATCAACCCATTATAGTGGTAGCTAGGAGTGATCCCAAAAAAACCCTTCAGATGCTTTGTTTTGAAGATTTTAACACAAATTTATATCTGTGCAGTGTTAACTTCCAAGTAGAACACTAGAACCGTGATTCAATTGACACGGCACAAATTCCATAACCTCAGTACCATCTATAGGCTCTATAATACTATATGCTTATTATAGTATTATAGAGCCTATATATGATGTAATATAATATGTCACTGTCCTCCCGTTGTTCATCGATTTGCTCGAGCGGGCCCAGTAAAGTCTCCATTGTGACACTTGTTACTGTGGTTGGCATCTCGAATACATCACAGGGAGCTTGCCAGGCTTTGCCCTGCGGGCAACATACTCTCAGTAGCTTGCCGGGCTCTCTGAGAGGGGCGGAGGAATCGAACTCGGGTCGGCCATGTTGGCTGCGTGCAAGGCGAAGGCCCTACCTGCTTTGCTATCGCTCCAGCCTGTAATATAATATATAGTATATTATACGTATGTGTATATGTGTATATATATACGTATATGTATATATACACATACATATATAGAATATAGACTGTAGAGGCACTATATACTTCTCACAGTTTTTCTGCCCTTGGATGCAACACTTACCCGTTAATCACTGTCACTGTCACTGTCCTCCTGTTGTTCATCGATAGTAACGTCTCCATTGTGATACTTGTTACTATGCTTGGCATATCAAATATGTCACCGGTAGCTTGCCAAGCTCTCCAAGAGGGGTAGAGGAATCAAACCTGGGTTGGCTGGGTTTTCCGCTTGCAAGACAAATGCCCTACCTACTGTGCTGTGGGGTAGCTCCAGCGCATCTGTTGATAATGAATACTAATTTTCTTCAGTTGAGTATATTTTGTTTTTTGGTCTAAGAGAATTTATATTCTCACTATGAGTATAGAGACTATATAGCTAATTAATTATTTTCCAATATAAACAATATTAGCAGCCCTTTTTACTTTCAAATTATTTCATTTTGCAGCTGCCTCTTAATACCTTTTTTGTCATTTGCTTCCTTTCAGATGACATTCAGAATAATCAGCTTTATTTAAGATTAAATGAGCATTTAAAAAAATAAACCTCCATTGTTCTCTCTTATGGAAAAATATGTTCCAGTATAATATTTCAGAAGAGTTAGAAGTAGTATAAGTTTTGCAAATATTAAGCATACTTATTTCATCATTTAGATTTATAAGAAATACAAAGTTTCTTGTTAATGAATAAATTACTTAAATTGGAACAATGCACATTACTGTTCAATTTTTACATAGAAAGCACTCTGTCTTATCAAGTACACTGCAATGTCAAATGTTTAATTTCCTAAGACAGCATTGTTAAAACAGAAAACACCAGTATTTTCTGCCTCTTTTCATCCTATAGTGATTAAAAACTGATCTTGGAATGAAGAGGACAAGGATGAAGTTAGATACCACTTAAGGGCCATTATACTTTTGTTAGCGGTCCAAGGAACAGAATGGAAAAGGTCCAGTGAATTTACAGGAAGATTTTATTTTCTCCTTCTTACTTTAGGTTATGAATTTCTAAGAAATAAAGGAGTTATGTGGTTTAAATTATAAACCAAAATGAAAATAACTTGGCAGGTTGTTTAGTATGTTAGATTATTGTTTTCTATTGTAAGCCATTTTTATAAAAATAGTTCTTAGTTTTTGAATTTTATGGGCTGCTTTGAGTTTCATCAGGAAATGATGTTTAGAGGCCGGAGCAATAGTCCAGCAGGTGGGGCACTTGCTTTGCATGCGGCCAACCTGGGTGCACTTTCCAATACCACATGCATTTCTCCAGGCACAACTACCCTCAAAGATACATGGTTTAGGTTTCCCTTTATTCATCTTAATCCTTAAATTCATTCAAAACTAATTTTTCTACAGTCATATACCATTTGTTTCTCAGTCATATACATTAAAACCTGGAAATTTTCTCATATTCTTCCTGTTACTAATTTGTAAAAGTAATTTTCCTGCATTAATTTTTAAGTACTGTCATAAGTCACCGAGACTAGATTTCATGTATGAGGTTTGGTTGTTCCTCTTTTATTTACAATTTATAGAACAGGTTGCTATTTCTTTGCAGGGTACGTTCACTGAAATACCTGCGAGCAACATTCGGAGAGTTATTGCCAAGAGGTTAACTGAATCTAAAAGTACTGTGCCTCATGCATATGCTTCTACGGACTGTGACCTTGGAGCTGTCCTAAAAGTTAGACAAAAACTAGTCAAAGGTAAGGTTGAACTTATTGACTATAAACATGCTAGCTATTAAAAATTCCTTTATTTATAAAATGCACATTGTGTATATTTCGATTTCATCATCTGGGTATATTTGGAGGCTACAGTAAAGAAGTGGTACTCTTTTCCTATAAAAAAATAAGTTTTATCATCTAGGTATATTTTAGGGCTATCGTAAGAGTACTTTTTTCTGTAAGGAAATTAGAGCCTTCATAGTTAGTAAATCATTTTTCATTGCCATACTTGAACAGAGTAATCCTTAATGTTTTAATAATTGTAAAGTCAAAAATGAATTTAGGATTTTGTTTAGATCATCTAAGTATATTTTAAATACCTTTTTCATACAAGTTTTGAGTTTTTGTTTCCTTATAGTATACTTTAAAACTCTTGTATGAATTAAAAACCAATGTTGCTGGGAGATACATGTGTTTTTGTTTGGTTTTTGTTTGGTTTTGTTTTTGAGCCACACCCAGTGATGCTCAGGAGTTACTCCTGACTCTGAACTTAGGAATCACTCAGGTTCTAATTGTGTTACATCTGGCTGTATTCAGGGGACCATATGGGATACAGAACAAGCAAGCACCCTACCTATTGTACTATCTCACCAGCCCCAACACACACTTTTTTTTTTTAAGCATGAACTGATGCTTTGATTTTTTTCATTCTTGATCTATATGTTTTTAATTTTATTTTCTTGCTTTACCATATTGTTTAACACTTGGTACAAGGATGCTTGGTAAAAGCAGATGTTACAGTACAGGGAAAACCTAGAGTGCCGATACGTTGATATGCCTTGAGGAGATCCCTTTCCTTAATGCTGACAATTTTAAGCATGAGTGCATGTTGAATTTTTGTTAGATGTTAAGTAATCTCTGATGCTCTTGTCTGTCATCTGAGATTGGTATTTTCCTGTCTACTAAAGTGTTCATTTCGGTGATGTCCAAATGTTGAGTCCACTTTTTTTTTTCCTTTGTTTTTGGCCACACTCAGGCCCTACTTTTGGTTCTGTGCTTAGGGATCATGCCTGGTAGGCTCAGGAATTGAACCCGGGTCGGTAGTATGCAAGGCAAGTGCCCTACCCACTGTACTATCTCTCTAGCCCCATTCTTCTTTTCTTGAGTGATTCCTCATTATTGTTGATTAAAACACTACTGATCATTAATTTTCTCATATATTGCTAGAATGTTGAAAGTTTTATTAAGAATCTTTGTATTTCTGCACATGAGAAATACTGGTCAGCATTTTCCACTTACTGAGGTTTTTTTTTTTCTTCTGGATTAATCAGATCTCCTGCATTTAGTTTGGAAATGTTTTGTCCTTTATTTTCTGGAAAAGTTTGTGTATTATTGGCCTTTTCTTCTTTTTTTTTTAAGAACTGACCTTTTTTAATTGCTTGTTGTAGTTCACCAGTGAAGCCATTAGATTACTATTATTATCATTATTATTCATTTTTTATTCCCTCTTCTATCTTGCTTTGGGCTGGAGCAATAGTACAGCGGGTAGGGCGTTTGCCTTGCACATGGCCAATTCGGGTTCGATTCCTTTGTCCCTCTCGGAGAGCCTGGCAAGCTACCGAGAGTATTCCTCCCCCACAGTAGAGCCTGGCAAGCTACCCGTGACATATTCGATATGCCAAACACAGTAACAACAAGTCTCACAATGGAGATGTTACTGGTGCTCGGTTGAGCAAATCCATGAACAATGGGAGGACAGTGCTACAGTGCTTCCATCTTGCTTTATCATTGTTGGTTTTGTTTCAGGCAGGTGGGTGGTGGTCATATACATACTGACTGTGGAGCTTGCATGTTCAACTGTTCTCCTCTCTCAGTTTGCAGAGTTTCCATACTTGGTTTAGATGCTCCCCATGGTTTTGCACTCCCTTTTGCCTTAGTACTTGCACACATGTTCACCGGGGATCTTATTTTTTAGTTGAGAGAGCACATACTGATCATAGTGATTACGTTATTCTGCTGTGGTGCTTGCAGAGGTCACAGCCCTTTGCGGTACTTGCATGCACGAGACTGGAGCACAGCCAGGGACTACAGACAGAGCTCCTAGGCTTAGAGCATATTTCAGATCCCGGGGATCTGAAATTGTGACCTTATGCTGATAAGACGAGACTTTTTTAAGTATTTCCTCCAGACTCCCTCCTTTAGCTTTCTTTATGGGAAAGTTTTTTTAAGTATTCAAATATTTAAATAGATTCAAGACATGATTTTTTTTTTCTTAAGTGGATTTTGGTACTTTGTGTTTTTAAAGGAATTTGTCATTTATCAAATTTATTGAAAGAAAGTTGTTCATATTACCACAAATATATAATATCTATAATATGAGCTAATTAGCCATTTTAAAAATTATTGTGTCTTTTAACTTTCCCAATCATTATGACTAAGGTTTTAGTAGTTTTATTGATCTCTTCAGACAAACCAGCATTTAATTTTCTATAATTTCAATCACTTCTATAATTTTATTTTTATTGATTTTTTTTTAAGTTTGATTTTTCTTTGTTGGACTGCTCCTAGCGGTGCTTAGGGCTTGCTCCTAGCTCAGTGCTCAAGGATCACTCCTGATGAGGCTTGGGGGACCATATGAGGTGCAGGGGATAGAACGTGGATTAACTGTGTACAAGGCAAGATCCCTACTCACTGTACTATCCAGCCCCAATGTTTTCATTGAATTCTACTCTTCTATTCTCAGGAGTGATAACCTGAGCCACAGATATCCAAGTAAAAGCTTGAACACCACTGGGTGTGGCCTAAACCCTACATTCCCCCAATAGGAAAGAAAACCAGGAGAGTATAAAGACTTGGAAACCAATCAGAGAGAATGTGATCAGCTTGAGAATACTAAAAGCTAGAGTATACTAAGGTAGAATATATTTAGTTAGAATACTAAATGTGAGGGCAGAGAATGTTAGGTGAGGACTACGGACTTGGGCAGTAGATTTGGAAAAAATCAGCTGGTACTTGGGCATTCTGCACTGCGGGAACTTTTATAGAAAAGTGAGAGACTGTAGAACCTAGGAGAGAGTTCATAAAATACTGCGGTCATATATCTGAGCTTCAGATCATGTCTTTTATAAGTGGCTATCATTAAAACTCTGAACACTGAAAAACCAATCATTATGACTAAGGTTTCAACAATTTTATTTGGAGTTGGGAGAAACAATAGCACAGTGGGTAAGGCACATGCTTTGCAAGATTGTTCATGAGTTCAGAGCCAGGAGAGTGGGACTAAGCCCTAAGCACTACTGGGTGTGGCCCAAAAAATAAAGGAGAAAGAAAGAGTTCTTAAATGAAAAGTTTCAAGCTGAACTGGCAGATAGTTCGAAGGACTTGTGGTCAGCACGCAGAAGAAGACCCAGGTTCATTTCCCAGCATTACGTGGTCAACCGGACACTGCTGGGCATAAAAAGACAAAGCAAGAGGCGGGCAAGAGAGTGGCTCTGAGCTTCAGGGATTGCTCCTGACAGTGCTCAGGGACCATGTAGGATGTTGGGGATGGAACCCAAGTTGGCCATGTGCAAGGAAGGCCTGTTGCCTTACTGCTGTACTATCTCTCTGGCCCCTTTAAGTCTTTTTCCCTAGGAGCTCTTTTAATAAAATACACGTAGTATTTTATTTTTTTAAATATGTTACACCCAGTGGGAAAAGCAGAATAAGATAATGGCATATTTTAGTTATGATCAGCTCTGTAGGAAGGGAGGGAACCCCGGTTTTATCTTAAAATCATTTTGTGTATTAAAAGGATATTGATTCATATGGATTCACCCTGTAAAACCAAACAGTCAACCTCATTTTATTTATTGCACTAGGATCTACGCCAACATTGTTTCATCTTTGGCATTTACTATATCCTGTCTTATTAAATTAAAAAGCAGCTCTTGTTTAATGCAGTTGCAGTGGCCTTAATCTTTTTCATTGTACTCTGAGTTGATAAAAAAAAAAAAATTCAAGCCACTCCTTATTGTATCTGCCTATTTTCAATAACCACATGAGAACTGGGGAAACTCCCTTCTTACAAGGATTCCTGAACAACCATAGGTGTGGTTTTGATGGTCCTCAAACCTAAGTAGTTAGGCCCACACTGCAAGGACAAGCACTACCAAGGGGGATCCTGTAAACATATACAAAAAATAAAAAGATTTAAAAAATTCAGTGACCACATGACCACTCTCTCAGTATAATGATTGTATTTTAAAGCCTACTTGGAATAAAGATATCATTTAAAAAAAAAGACAAGCAAGAAAAAGATAGTCACCTTGTAAACTTCCTGACTATATACCACTGAGACCATTTGTCTTTTTTAGACAGAATAATTGTTTATCTTCTTTCTGCTATTGGTTGAAATTTATCCTCCAAGTTCTTCTAGATACTGGAGCAACATAGAATAATTACTTCAGAGTCAGCTTTTACGTTTGTGTTAATGTTAACGTTATTTAGCCAAGAATGAAACACAGATGCAAGTTTTATATCATGCATGTTTTTTTAATCCTGTATACTATATTGATAAGCAAACAAAAAAGCCTTTGTCTTTAGTCATTGCTTGTGCATTTCATAGTTAACAAATTTGAAATCATAATGATAAGAGAAATTTTATAAAGAATATTTTATGAAGAAAGTTTTATCAGGAATAATTTTAATTTTTTTTTTCAGATGACATTAAAGTGTCAGTAAATGATTTTATCATCAAGGCAGTAGCAGTCACCCTTAAAGTAAGTAGCAAACCCAGACATGTTGACTTTTGAAATATTCATACACTGTAGAATTTTAATAAGTAAAATCCGAGTCCAGGCTCAACGGACCCAGGGAGAGAGATACTCTGCTTGCTCCCACCAACCACAGGTGACAAAGGGATTCTTATCAGGAGCCCCACCCTACCCTGCCCTGTCTGCTCCTACCAACCACTAGAGACCCAGGGATCGGATTGCACACAGAAGACCCACCCTACCCCTACCGGGACCAGATAAATACCCCACTGTCACAACTGCACTACCGACACTACCTCCACTACCCAGCCGCCGCCACACTTCAGGACGCTTTCCGGACCGCAACTCATCATAAGACACTAAATACCCATCTTCCGGAATTGCCGTACCATATTTGATAGGGTTCAAATATGTTAACACCTACGAGGGCGATTAGAGGTCGCCCCAAAAGCCTCTATCCCTCTCGGAAAGACTGGCAAGCTGCCGAGAGTATTCTGCCTGCACGGAAGAGCCTGGCAAGCTATCCATTGTGTATTCGATATGCCAAAACCAGTAATTACAACTGGTCTCATTCACCTGACCCTGAAGGCTTCACCAACATGGCAGCACTGAGAAGGATGAGAAAGGAGCGGCCGATAAAATCTCAAGGCCGAACTAGGCTGCCACAACGAAGGAAGACAGAAATGATCATCTGTACTTTCAGTGCACGTACGCTAGCATCAGATGCATCCATCGAGGACCTGATGGTACAGGCGCGAATGATCAAGTACGACATCATTGGTCTGACCGAGACAAGAAGGCACGAATCTCACCATGCCGTTTTAAACACTGGAGAAGAATTGTTCCTCGGAACATGCGATAAAAGAGGTGGCTGAGGCGTCGGTGTCCTTGTCAACACAAACTTGGCCGTGAGCATTGATTCATTCGAATGCCTAACAACCCGAATCGGACGTTTACATTTGAATAGATGTGGCTCACTGCCGGCAGTTTCTATCTTCGTTGTCTACGCACCAATATCTCATTATGATGAAAGAGAAATCGAGAAGTTCTACATGGAGCTGGAGAAGTTCTATAAAGACCACACCTTCTACAAGATCATTGTGGGTGATTTTAATGCCAAGATAGGACCGAGAAGATCAACTGAAGAACTTCACATCGGGACCCAAGGTCTAGAATGGAATGAACAGGGTGAGAGACTGTCTGAGTTCATCATGTCGACCAAGACCATTCATGGTAACTCACAGTTCCAGAAGGCAGAATCTAAACGTTGGACATGGGAGTCTCCCGGTGGACGATTCCACAACGAAATAGACCACATCATATTCAATCGACGGTTTTGCCTGACTGATGTCGCTGTTGTCCCAAAATTCCAAACGGGATCGGACCACCATCTCCTTCGTGCAAAATTCTACTTCACAGAGCGGGGAGAAAGGACTGCAAAGGTTAAGAAGAGAACTTCCAGAACGACCACCAACTGGGAGCTCTTCGGCACTATTGCGGCAACATGGGAAGATGCCATTGTTGACAACATTGACAAGGAATACGATCGACTGGTTCAGCACCTCCATGATTGTGCGAAGAATGCCAAGAGCGAGATAGCCACAAAAAAACGCCTGTCTTCGAAAACTCTTGAGCTTATTCGCCAACGTGGTTTGGCACATGCCTCAGGCAACCGTAAGCTAAAGTCCAAGCTCGCAAAGCAGTGCAGAGATGCGATCAAGGAAGACCTCAAAGAGAGAAGAGCAGAAGCAGAAGTGCTGGTAGATGCAGCATAAGCCGGGAAAAGTGTTCATAACGCCCGCCTGTCCTTTGCCAACTACAAGACCAAGATGACTGCCCCCCGATGTCCTGATGTATCCATCACATCCTCCAGAACGGCAAAGGAGAAGATTGTCCATGACTTCTACTCAAATCTCTTCGATAGCCATGTCCACTTGCCAACATACCAAATTCCACAGGATGGATATGTCGTTCCCAACGTTCTCCCTTCCAAAATCCGACACGCCATTTTGTCAATAAAGAAACGAACAGCGCCCGGCCCAGACAAGGTCAGACCTGAACACCTGAAGAACCAGCCGTCAGTACTCATCAATACACTGGCTCGGCTCTTCACACGCTACCTGTCTGAATGCAAGGTTCCGTCCCAATGAAAAACCAGCAGGACCGTACTATTCAGGAAGGGAGACATCCATGACATTGGCAACTATCGCCCAATCTGCCTATTGTCTTTCATCTACAAGTTGTTCACTCGAGTCATCCTAAATAGGATTGGCAGAACACTAGATGAAGGACAACCATGCAAGCAAGCCGGGTTCCACAAAGGATTCAGCACCATCGACCATATCCACACGATAACCAAGCTCATTGAGGTTTCTCGGGAGTTCAAGATGCAGCTCTGTTTAACGTTCATTGATTTAAAGAAGGCCTTTGATTCTGTTGAGACGGAAGCGGTCATTGAAGCCCTAGCCAATCGGGGCATTCAAGCCCAATACATCAAGATCCTCCGTGAGCTGTATTGCTGATTCACTACCAGGATCTCACCATTCTACAAAGAAGTAATCATTGATGTCAAGGGAGTGGTTCGGCAGGGTGATACCATTTCACCGAAACTCTTCAGTGCCACCCTCGAGAACATCATGCGATGACTGGAATGGGAAGGAATGGGAGTGAAGATAGATGGTCGGCATCTACATCACCTCCGCTTTGCTGATGACATTGTTTTAATAACACCAAACATCAGCCAAGCGGCACAAATGCTGGCCAACTTTGACCGTGAGTGTGGAAAGGAGCTGAATCTTACGAAGACAATGTTTATGAGAAACAGCCTCGTTCCTGATGCCCCATTCGCTCTCAACGGAACGACCATCTCCGAATGCAACAGCTATGTGTACCTAGGTCGAGAAGTCAACATGACAAATGACCTGGCACCCAAGCTGCGCAGGAGGAAGAGAGCGGCTTGGAACGCCTTCAAGAACGTCGAAGAAATAGCTAAGAGGACGAAGAACCTCCGGCTCCGGGCACATCTCTTTGATTCCACTGTTCTTCCTGCATTAACATATGCCTCAGAGACCTGGGCCCTACGCAAACAGGATGAGAATGCTATTCGGGTCTCCCAAAGAGGAATTGAAAGAGCTATGCTTGGAATATGACGTTTCACTCAAATGAGAGAAAGAATCCGGAGTTCCGACATCTGTCAATGATCAAGAATCAGGGACGCTGTCTCGTTTGCCAAGGTGTCAAAAATCAGATGGGCTGGTCACATAATGAGATTTAAAGACAACTACTGGACTAGAGCTGTTACCGACTGGATCCCATGGGATGTCAAAAGACTGCGTGTCCGCCCACCTACCAGATGGTCAGACTTCTTCATCAAGATCATGAACGATCGGTTTGAGGCTCTTCATGTTCCCAGAGCGAACAGAAGCCATTGGGCTACACTGGCACGCGACAGGGAGGAATGGAGACTTTACTGGCGCCCGCTCGAACAAATCGACGACTAACGGGAAGTTAAGTGATTAAGTGAAAATCCGAGTCACAAAATGTTGGTAATTTCATTGCTAAAAATAGTCTATCATTTAATGTATCTTCCTTAGTTTTGTGGTCGATGTAATTGAGAACCAAAAGCGTTTACAACTTATAGCAGGAAAAAGACTACTTAGTAAACCAGTAGTGACTGATCCCGTAGCTTGTGTAGAGCACATTCTGTGCCTTTAGAAATACAGTGGTGAACAAAAGCCTACATCGAATCTGCTCTTGTGGGGCTTCTATGATTGGGAGGGCAAACAAAGTTTTGTCTGATAGAGAAAGTGCTGGGGAAAGAAGAAAGCAGGGGAAGGCAAGGTAACTGGGGTGTTACTGTGCAGCATTAGTCAAGTACCACGTACCCTCCGCCATGGTGGTCACTGAGACAAGGCTTGCAGAGAGAGGAAGGAGGGAGCCACATAGTGGTGTGAGAATGTTCTGTTCATTCATTTTTTCAGAGCAGCAACCCTGAAGTTTGAGAATCGGGTTGTTTCAAACCCAGCCCTGAGGATAAAGTGTGCCTTCAGGGGGGTAAGAGTGACATTTCACAGGAAGAGAGGGGAGAGGATCAGGGTCTTGAAGTCTACATGAGGCCTTGTGTGAAGTATAGTTTCATTGTGCATGAGAAGAAAGCCTTGGAGGGTTTTGAGGGGAGACATAATCCAACTGACACTATAAAAAAGAGATTACTGTGTTTGTGTGGACCCAGCAAAGGGCAGAAGCAGTGTAGGATTCTGTAGATGATGACTAAAGTGATAGCAGTAGAGCTGGACTAGAGTGAGTTTTTAGTCACAAAGCAAAAGGAAGCAGGATTTTCTTTTGGATTGGATGTAGGATTTGAAAAAAAGAATGAGTATTTTGGCCTAAGCAATATCAAAAATGAAGTTTTCTCTGTACTAGGGCTAGAACCCAGAGTGATCCCTGTGTACTGCTGGAAGGCCCCCAAAATATACCAGAACAAACCAAAAAAAAAAAAAAATGAGTTATTTCTTTGAATGCAGCCTATTAGGTTTTTATTGCAGTTTTCTGATGAACTCTATTTTTCAGATGAAGTTGCTTTTTGTTTTTTGAGGTTTTTATTTTTTGTTCTTACTTTAAGGCTCTCTGTGAAAAAACCTAGTCTTCTGAGGGGTTGGGGCTCTTGTTTATTATTTTGACCTTGAGGCATTGTTAAATGGTGGAACTGAATCTTGAAAGAAATGAAAAGAATGACTGAGAAATGATTAGACAGAAATGAGTAGTGCTGCTTAATAGAGTCCAAGTTGAGTGGAAAATTTATTTTCAGGATGTGGTCAGGAATAAAATTAAGTAGAGATGCTAGAGAGATAGTATAGTGGTTTAGGTGCTTGCCTTCCATGCAGCAAACCTGTATTTCATCCTTAGTACCACTTGGTTCCCTGAACACTGTCAGGAATACGAACTGAACACAGTTAGATGCACCCCAAAAAACAAAGTAAGTAAATGAAATCAGATAGGTACAGGACCTTATTTATTATGCATTATTAGTCTTAAATTATATGCTGGGAGGGCCTTAGATCTTATTTCATAGAGCATTTTTCAGAAAATACTTTTTTTCTAATTTTATCTTTATGATATTTGGCAAAATTATGACTTGTTGCAGAGATTCAATAATTTCAACTGGCATTTTTTATCTATAGTGCAACTATATGCATATTATAGAAATTCAAACATAGTGTATATATCATATATTTGTGAACCTAGGGAATCTCTCTTAAAGAGGGAAATCAAGAATCTACAAAGAAGCTAGAAATAATAAACCAGTGGAGGAGATTGTCTGGGCACAAAATCAAGACACAAAAATTAGTTTCTTTGTTATATACAAAGGATGAATCAGGAAAAAAGGGATCAGAGAGTCTATCCCATTGAACATAGTATCCAAAAACAGCAAATATCTAGGAATCAGATTAGCAAAAGATGTGAGAGACCTATACTATGATAACTAAATCACTTACGAAAGAGATAGAGGAAAACCTGGGGAAATAGAAAAATATCCCATCTTCATGGATTAGAAGAATCAATATTATTTAAAATGACTATCCTGCCTAAGCTATTATATAGATTCAATGCAGTCTGCATCCAAATTCCAACAACATACTTCAAGGATCTAGAAAAGTCAATAAAGATTGTATATGGAATCAGAAAAAAAACATGACTAGCCAGAGCAATACTGAAAAATGAGAAATTGAGAGATCTGGAACTAATTTGGAACTGTATTATAAAGCTATAATGATCAGAACTGCATGGTACTGGAATAAGGATAGGCCGTCTAATCAGTGGGTTAGAACCCAATACCCAGTGACAAAACCCCACGTATATGGACAATTAATTTTCTATAAGAGAGCTAAGAACATGAGATAGAATAAAGATAGCATCTTCAACAAATGGTGCAGGAAAACTGGATTAACTCATGTAAGAAATTAAAGCTGGATATATATTCTCCACCTCACATAAAAATCTATTCAAAGTGGATCAAAGACCCTGATATCCAACTAGAAACTGTAAAATATATGAAAGAAAAATATAGGTAGAATACTTGAAGATTGGGACCTCAGATGTTTTCAGTGACCACTGGCAAAGGCAAAAAATAAAAATAAACAAATGGGACTACATAAAATTAAAGCACTTCTGCATAGCAAAAGAAACACAGGCTAACCCTAAAAGCTAACTGGGAAAAAATGTTTTCATTCAATACATCAGATAAAGGTTAAATATCCAGGATACACAAAGTACTTGCAAAGATCAACAAAAAGAAATTTTAAACCCCTATCAAAAAATGGGCAGAGGAGTGGCCGGAGCGATAGTACACCGGGTAGGGTGTTTGCCTTGCACATGGCTGACCCAGGTTCGATCCCCAGCATCCCATGTGGTCCCCCAGCACCACCAGGAGTAATTCCTGAGTATAGAGCCAGGAGTAAACCCTGGGCATCGCTGGGTGTGACCCAAAAAGAAAAAAAATGGGCAGAGGAAATGAAGAGACTATTTTTCAGAGGAAGACAAGCAGGTAGCCAGTAGGTACATGAAAAAATGCTCAGCATCACTTACCATCAGAGAAACCAAATCAAGACAACAATAAGATTCCATCACACACCAGTGAGAAGGGCACATATCGAAAATAGTAGGAGCAATCTGTGTTGGCAGGGATGCTGTGAAAAGGAAACTCATCCATTACTGGTGGAAATGTTGTGTCATACAACCCCTGTGGAAAAGAGTATGGAGAGTTCTCAGTAAACTTAGAATTGAACTAGCATATGACCCAGCAATTCCGCTTTGGACATCTACCCCCAAGACATAAAAACACTCTGAAAAGGACATATGCACACCATTATTCATTGCTGCACTCAATACGGTAGCTCAAACATGGAATCAACCTAGATATCTGTCCAGTGACAGATGAATAGATTCTGAAGATGTATATATGCACAAGGGAATACTATGCAGCTGCAGGGAATAATGAAATCATGCAATTTGCAGTCTGGTTGGAACTGGAAGATAACCATATTGAATCAAGTAAGCCAGAAGAAGAAAGACAAACCCAGGATGATCTCACTTATCTATGGTATGTAGAATACTGTATGAGGAAATGTATTGTAGTAAAGGGAGTAATGCCTGCATCACTCTTGATTCCAGTGCTTGGAGAGGAAACAGATAAAGAAAGAAAGAAATACAGGGAGGAAAAAGAAAATGGGATTAATAGGAATCAGGGCTTTAGTTATACTAATGATATGGGTAAGTGGTCTAGCCATATATCCAAAATGCAGGCTCAATAATACCAAAAACATACTATCTAAGCTGCATCCATTGAAACTTTATATGCCTGAAACTCAAGTATTCAATAATCTTGTCAATCACAGTTAATTATTAAAGAAAATAAAAAGGGAACCTGCTTATTAAGATCCTGCTATTTCTCCCAAGGCTGCCCCAGGAATGGTGATACTGGCTGTCACTGGCCTCCATCCCCTCTTTACAAGATCATGCTGTTCATCATAAGACAAAGTACATCAGATGTTGAATACTATATAGCCCATAGATCCAAAAAGAGGAGAACTTTTTGTAACCATAATAGGATATTATTCTTCCAAACTAAAAACTATTTCACACTCAGATCTGAATGACTTTTTCCAAACTGAATATTTGTCTTCCTCTATCTTGCTATGTTATATTCACTTTTGAAAATAGTTAACAATTGTGGTAACTATTTTTCTATAACCACTTTGAGTTTGAAACTTCTTTTTTAACCTATTTTTCTATGTCTGCTTTTAGCAAATGCCAGACGTCAATGTAAGCTGGGATGGAGAGGGTGCAAAGCAACTTCCCTATATTGACATTTCAGTGGCTGTGGCAACAGACAAAGGTTTAATTACGCCAATCATCAAAGATGTAGCTGCTAAGGGTATACAGGAAATTGCTAACTCTGTAAAGGTATGTCTTAAAAATCTTGTGGTTTTAAAATGTTACAATTTGCATTCTGATTAAATGTTAACATGATCTGATCACACTGATACATAATTACAGTTTTGTTGTTGGGTTTTTGTTTGGTTGTTTTTTTTTTTTTTACTTTCAAATGTCAGTTGTGTTTATTATTTTACTTAATCATTAAAGTGAGGTTTTATGTTTGTTTTTTGTCTCTGATCATTTTATTGTGTTTACTGTTGTGATACATAGTTCTGAAAGAAACTTTCTTAGCATTCCCTGATACTTGCATATGGGAAGAATGTAAGTTCAGATGGAAGAAACTGAGCCAGCAGTCTCCGGGTTGAAGGTGGTCCCGCCCCTTCAGGGTGTCCCAAGGCACTGGCACTGAAGGGTGGCTGCCCTCTGCTACTCCTCCGGCCTCTGTGTCCCCCCTGCTTCCCAGTTTTCTGTCAACATTATTTTCTCTGATGCACCAAACTCTAGGCGGGGCTCTTTATTACTTCAGCTCAGTATTAGGGTCGGATCCTTACCTTCCCCGTTTCAAGTTGGGGAAGCTGAGTTTTAGCCCCTTTAAATAGTTCAAGTGTCACTTTATTTTTGTTGTGGGACCACACCACAAGTGCTTAGGACTTCACTGGTGATTCTGTACTCAACATTCCCAGTGACAGTGCTCAGGAACCTTATGCAGTGCAGGGGATTGAGCTGGGGTCAGTTTAACCCCTGTCACTGTCTCACTGGCCCCAAATGTTACTTTTTAAGACCTTCTGGGACTTTGATAGTTAAAGTAGCTTCTCAGGTATTATCAGGTCATCGGTCTTTTAAAAATTAACCTTTTTTAAAAAAAATAATTTTGCGTTTCTTATCTGATGTTGACTGTCGCTCATTGCCATTTATCTAATTTCACAAGTGTGGCTGGACCATAATAGTTGTTCCTGTAACTTGTAACTGTTCAGGGGGGCTTTTTTTTTTTAATTTAAAGCTATTTAGTCAAAATGAATTTTTCAAGAAGTTCATTGGTATTGAAAACTCCATCTCCTAAGGACCCCAGTTCAGAACCCAAGCAGTAAATATGTTGTTCTTGCCCTCAGTAATCCCTAGGCTGTCAGGGGTGGTCACTGTGTGGGACTAAGCCCATGCCTCTACTAACTCAAGTTTGCATTCCCTTCTCAAGTAATAATAGAGTGACACACCTTAGATCCCATGCTTTGCTTAATCCGTTATTATTGTAACAGTTTTAAAAGCAGAGGAAAAACTTAACCTCATTAGTTCCCACTAATTTTTCTGGATGATTGAGTAAGAAACGATACATTTTATAAATATTTGCTCCTTATTTTTTTAATGTATCCTTTCAACAAATGCTTTAGGAACACCTACTTTCATTTTAAGTTCCCATTGTAGGAATTCCAGTGAGAATTAAGTATTTTAAAGGGAAAAAAATTGAAGAATCTTCAGCACCAACAATCTTCCTGGGATTGTGTTCATACTCCACACTTTAGAGGTCATTGATAGGAATATCCTGCTGATGTATTTAGGTTCTATAAAGATCCCCCCCCCCCCCCCCAGTGGAGTATGAAGGCTTTTGTTTTGTTTTGTTTTGTTTTGTTTTGTTTTGTATTTGCTTTTTGGGTTACGCCCAGCGATGCTCGGCGGTTACTCCTGGCTCTGCACTCAGGAATTACTCCTGGCAGTGCTTAGGGGACTATATGGGATGCCAGGGATTGAACCCAGGTTGGTCATGTGCAAGGCAAACGCCCTGCCCACTGTACTATCATTCTGGCCCCCAATCTAAGTTTTTAAATAAACATTGTTTTTATTTAGTGATCCTAGTAATACATCAGGATATGTTAATCATTTGTCTTTAAAGATATACTTTTCCGTGGCTGGGGAGACAGCTCAGGGATCAGGAGTACATATCTTGCATGCATAGAGATCGAGTTTGACCCTTTACACTACCTGGCTGCCTGATCACCACTGCATTCTACTTTGGTAGCACCCAGTATGGCTCTGGTAACCCCCAACATAGCTCCCTGAGTAGCATTGCATATCTAGGCCTGAGTGCTGACCTCTGGTTCCTCTGAACACTACTTGGAAGCCCACCCCCCCAAAAAAAACATTAACTTTTCAGAGTGTATGCAATATACGCCTTCTTTTAGAAGCAGTATTGTCAAGAATATGAAAGTGCTTCATTCTTTTATTCCATGCAGAATTGGATTTGCTTTATTCAGGAACAGCTTTGGTGATAGCATAAAAAGACTAAAAGTCCAGTTTAAAGTGTTTAAATTGTACTTCAGATAATTTTTACATGAAATAATTAAGAAGAAACCAATGCATTTTAACTTTGGCAAATAGTGAGTTGTGGCAGATGCAGTCTTTAGAATGTTTAAGCAGATTTTAGAAAGGCAATTATAAAAATTAATACAGAAGATGATTACAATATTGAGAAGTGAAAAACAAAGTCTGGGGTTACCTGGTTTTGTTTTGAAACTCTGGAGTTATATGTATGACAGATAAAAAAGCAAAACCTGCAGGCAGAGGCTGCGTCTCAGCAATTGAGCACATATGTATAGGGCCCTGCTTTTCATCCCTGGCACACAAAAACTGAAAGGTTAAAACTAATGGGTTTGCCCACAGCACTCAAAAGGAGAGAGATAACAAAAGGGAATGCCCTGCCACAGAGGTAGGGTAGGATGGGGGGTGGGAGGGATACTGGGACTGGTGGTGGTGAAGAATGGGCAACTGGTGGAGGGATGGGTATTCGATCATTGTATAACTGAAACCCAAGCACAAAAATTTGTAAGTCTACAACTGTACCTTGTGGTGTTTCACTAATAAAAATTTAAGGGGGAAAAAAAACCTGATGGTTTGCTTCCAGTGGATAAATTTTTCACACTGCTAGATTGCCTCTTATTTTCTTATAAGAAAGCATTTTATTGACAGAATAGAAAATCGGAGTATATATTTGGAAAACACTGAAATTTTCCATGTAGTAATGGTAGCACTGTAGCACTGTCCTCCCGTTGTTCATCGAGATTTGCTCGAGCGGGCCCAGTAACGTCTCCTTGTGTGTTTGGCATATCGAATACATCACGGGGAGCTTGCCAGGCTTTGATGTGCAGGCGAGGTACTCCCAGTAGCTTGCCGGCCTCTCCGAGAGGGGCAGAGGAATCAAACCCGGCTCGGCTGGGCCGGCTGTGTGCAAAGCAAACACCCTACCGCTATGCTATCATGGTATGGGGGTAATTACAGTATTTGAAGAAGTTTTAAAGAGAGTGATATTTTTTTTCTAGAATTTGTATCAGCTCTTTAGTTTTTAGATGATCTGTGCGCCAATTTATTTTTAAAATTGTATTGGGAAACATTTATATGGTACATGTTATGAAATCAGATTGAGACCTATTAGAGATAAGGGTATATATATCCTGTAGAAATTTCTCAGGTGACAAAATCAGCTCTATAGCATAGTGTTGGTTGTCATGCCCTCTTTGTGTTTTTATCAGGTTCTGTCAAAGAAAGCAAGAGATGGAAAATTGTTACCTGAAGAATACCAAGGAGGATCTTTCAGGTAAAATACAACATTTTCATTATCAGAAGCAGCAAACAGAAGACTTACAAAGTCCATGTCAACTTGTTTCATCTGTTTTCTGAAAATAGTTTTTGAAATTTAAGATAGATATCACATATTTTAAGTAGCAGAATATGTTCTTCAGAACAGTCTTCAAAACATTCTTCAGAACAGTCAGTTTTTCCATATCGAAGCTGATAACTAAACCCATTAGGTTACTCATTTAAGTTATTCAAATATCCAAAGAATGTCATTTGAGAGCTAAATTTTTTTCTTTTCAGTTTGTAGAAGTAGTAGATTTATAAAACTCATTTATGCTTTTTCTGTTTTTCTTCTCTTTTATTTAACAGTGTGTTTGTGGAAAATACTTAGTCTTAGATCCTAGAGTTATTCGCTGTTTTGTGTATTATATAGAGTACAGAGTATAGCTTGAATATTTTAATAAAGTGAAGAAATCAAAGCAAGATAAAGAGCATTTTCAGCATCCCAAAAGTTTATTATTTATCTTCTCATCAAAGGTAGCCACTATTTTGAAAATTATCACCATAGTTTCCTTTGCTTGCTTTGATCTTTAAGCAAATACATGTCCTGTAATGCCTTACAGCTTTCACATAATATTAATGCCTGTGAAATTAACTGTTATGTGAAGCAATTCTTTTCCTTTATTGAGGTATAGAGTATATTACACAAATATTTTACTGTTGACAAATTGTCTTGTGTACAATGTGTGCTTTCACAAGTAATGTGCATATTTTTATTATATAGACAGAGAAAACTTGCTAGGTTCAAAGTTTCAACAATTGGCTCAGAGCAGTAGTACAGCTGTTAGGGCACTTGTCTTGCATATGACCGACCTGGGTTTGATTCCAGGCATTTTATATCGTCCCCTGAGCATCGCCAGGTGTGACACCCCCCCCCCTCAAAAAATTAAGTAAGGTTTTAACAGCATGTGAAAATACTCACTGCTCCATATTCTTACCAACACTTAGTACTGATAATTTTAACTTTTCTTGGGGTATGGAATAATACTGTTTGTGGTCAGAGAAAGGCATGTTAGTGGTTTTCACTCTGTCAGCAATTTATTTTAGGTAACTCATCGGATAAAGTGTTGAAATCGTGTGTTCATTTAAAAAAATTACTTATAGTGGTTCTGATTTCCAGATATGCAGACTTTTGTAGGCTATTGTGTCTTTGTTTCAAGTAATTTTTTTAAAAAGTAATTCTTTTCCATTGACTTGTTTGTGTATCCTCTGTGCAGTATGTCCCATACTACCATTATTGCTAATGAAAATTTTACAGTTTTGTTCACCCTTTAATTAACAGATATCTGCACATAGATACATACATCCCACTTAGCGGAATTTCAATTGAGATTATTAGTAAAACTTTACATTAATTTGGGGAGAATGGACATCTTCATAGTATTGAGTTTTCTGGTTAGTGAACATGGCACACACCGTTGTTCTTTCCTTTCTTTCCTTCGTGTTTTATAATTTTCTATATAGCAGTCATATGTATGAGTCATACAGTTTGTAGGCATAGAATAGTTTTTTATGTTGACATCCTCGCCAAATTTGCTTTATCTGTAGTTTTAGGTTGTCTGTGTACACAATTCATCTGTGAATGTTTTCTCTTACCTATTCCTATTACCTATTCCATAAAACTTTTTTCTCTCAGTATTCCACAGAAAGTTTCGTTTCAGTGCCAAGTAAATGAGTAGTTACAATATCTGTATGTTGATAGATGCTTGTTTTCAACAATATATAATATTTGTATATATTATATATAAATATGGTATTTTTTTTGTCTTTGAATAACTTGGTAGAACTTCTATAACATGGTTGTTTCAAAAAGTAAAAATGTATGCTTTTAGAAAAGGAATCTTTTGGACATTTCACCTTCAAAACTTTTTGTTTTCCCTTAGTATTTCCAACTTGGGGATGTTTGGCATTGATGAATTTACTGCAGTGATCAACCCCCCTCAGGCCTGCATTTTAGCTGTTGGGAGATTCCGACCTGTGCTGAAGCTCACTGAGGATGAAGAGGGAAATGCCAGGCTGCAGCAGCGCCAGCTCATCACCGTCACAATGTCCAGTGATAGCCGAGTGGTCGATGATGAACTGGCCACCCGGTTCCTGGAAAGTTTCAAAGCAAACCTAGAGAATCCTATGCTACTCACTTAGTTCCCAGACAGTGAGAAGTTGGACTTTGGCTTAATAATAATAGTTGTTACAAAGAAACATACACAAAAGGAAGACAGGCATTGAAGAGTGAAGTGTATGGAATGCTTATTTATTTAAGATGAAAGAATTTGACCAGGTTGTCTTTATTTTCATTTGGGGTGTAATGTTGTAGAAATATGAGATAACAAACTGTAACTAATGAAAGAACACTTGGTTAAGGCAGATCCTATTTTAACCTCTGGTGCTAAAAGGGGTGTTGAACTAGATGTAAATTAAATTATATATTTGGCTCATTTGAGTATTTTACAGTATTTGAGACTATATAATAGATTTTAAAATCAAAAATGTTAGAATTCTGGCATATATTAAAATTAGAAATAGTCATCAAAAGAAAGATGCCCATTAATTTAGCAGTGAGACCTCACTTTTATAAGCACTGCCCTAGACATACTTGAATTTAATGTGTACAGAAGTATATTCTGGATAATAGTGAATAAATAAGGATTGCATTGTATTAAGGGTTGTGGTTACTGATTTTTTTCTGTATATAAAGTAATGTGTTTCAGAGTGGTATTTATTAACCTTATTTTTCATTTATATGACATTGTGAACTTCAAAAGAGTAAGAATTAAAAATCAAAAATGAAGACAAAGAGACCAGTTTTTTTCAGTGATAAACTGTAGCTAAAATATCTAAACATTTCAAGGTTAACTGCTCACCTCCATATATTGAGTTGGAGTATATAAAATTATACTGTCTCCTACCAAACATTTTAACTTAATGATTTAAACACAAAATATTACTGCTTACTTTTAATCAAGTTTTAACTGTGCAATAAAATAATTAAAGTTACTAGTTATTTTAAATTTTGTATTTAGTAAAACCTAGAAATGGATTAGTAATCTCCCTGGAAAGCTTAAAAGGAACTCTAGCAGTATAAAGAAGAGTTAATATGGCATTAGAATAATAGTTAATACATAATGTAAAGCTTTAGAAAGTATAGGAGATTTATGAAATAGGTGAGGACTTTTTAATTCTTTAGTTAATAAAGATTTTCCCAAATATTTTCAAAGGTAGAAAAGCTAGTTCTTTTAATAACTGCTACAACAGACAAGATAATACTGCTGAATTTGAATGGTAATTTAATCACCAGTCTCATTAAAGTTGGTGGTATTGACTGCTGTTATGAATCACCTGAAGATAGGCTAGTATGAGTTGTGTGGTGACACGATAAACTACATGCCTAATAAAAGTCTTCTAAGATAATGACAACTTCAAAATGTCAATCAAGATATGTAATCCAAGTCACTTCAAAATTCTCATCATATCAACAGTCATACTGAAAATCCTAACCAGATGCTAATTTTGAAATAACTTTTTTTCAGTTAAAATGTTTTCAGTCAAGTTTTTCAGTCTATTTTAGCCAAGAAAAAAACTTTTTCAACTTCTCTCTCTTTAGAAACAACAGAACCTGAGATGGCCATAAATAAGCCTTGACTGGGAGTTCTGTTTTTCCTTGGACTTATGTGCATAAATAGTACTGCATGCATTTCCCTATAGTTGAAATGGGCTTAATCGCTACTTCAGGCTGCCTTTTAGGGTCATTATGAACTGCACAGTGAGAATGCTGTATAAATTGAAGAGATTTAATTCTTCATGAATATCACAATCAGATTTGTCACCTAATCAATTGCTTGTCATGGTTTAACTTCTCAGTTCTTGGTATTAATATTCATTTTCACTCAAAGTATTTTCACTAATATTTCTATATTGAGTAGGTTTTGTTGCTTTTAAAAAGAGTTCTGTTGTAACATGGCATCAAAGAATACTGATTTGAGAAAGGACCCTGGTGTACTTGGTTTGAGTCATTACAAGAAAATTGTACAAGCGGTTTTTCACCTTATTTGTGGATACTGCACTGTAGCACTGTACTCCCATTGTTCATCGATTTGCTTGAGTGGGCACCAGTAACTTGAGACTTATTACTCTTTCTGGCATAATCGAATATGTCACAGGGAGCTTGCCAGGCTTTGCCGAGCGGGCGAGATACTCCCGATAGCTCGCCAGGCTCTCTGAGAGGGGCAGAGGAATCGAACCTGGGTGGGTCACATGCAAGGTAAACGCCCTACCTGCTGTTCTATCGATAATGCACTGAAAAAATATAAAATGAAATTTTATGGCTGGTTATTATTTTTATCCCGAAAACAAGGGAATGACTGAAATGTTGAGAAGACTTGTAAAGGAAATGCAACACAGCAGTTCACAATTGAATATAAAAATATATAATGAATATTAGAACTTGTAAGTCAAATGTTTTTACTTCTCCCTAATTGCAATTTCTAACTGACGTTTACAGACATTGGCTCACTATGTTGTGGCAGAGTAAAATCACCAGTGTACTGCTGGCCAGGGTTCTTTGCTTGAAACATTACTAAGAAATTTCTGTGTGTGCCTATCCAGATATTTTGCATGTCATAGCTAATGGAACTGTGGCTTTAGTTGTTGTTTTGGGTTTTTTTTTTTTCATCTTGGATTTCATTTCACACTGATTATATAGGGCAGCCTATTGGGCTTCATGCAAGTAAAACTAGTTTCCTAAGTGTTTAATGAAAGATAGGTGGTGCTGCGAGTTAATACACTGTTGGTTAGGTGAGTGAGACATTGAAGTGACATTTAAAATTCTAGTTTTTAGAAAAGATTTTTCCTGATTATATAGAACATCATGATGGTCTTTGGCTCTGGTAAAGGAATGAAGCAACCAATTTTATCGAAGCTAAAAATGAACCAATTTAAATATGGGTTTATTGATTTTTTTTTTAAAGAGGAAAGTAGCAATGCAGAATTACTTAAGATTAATCTAGGGCCAGAGAGCTAGTGTAAAGGTTAAGGTGCTTGCTTTGGGCATGGCTGTGACCCTGATTCAAATCCTCCCACTGCATGTGATTCCCCCCAAGCACCACCAAGTGTACAAAGCTAAGAGTTGCCCCTAAATATAGGCCAAAAAACAAAGTAAATGAAATTTTAAAGTTAGTCTGGCCTCCATCAGCAAAGGTAGGTCAAAAATAAAGAGAGAATGAGAGTTCACAGGATCTATCTAGAGGACTTTGTGAGTTCCTTAGATTCTGCACTGGATCAAGTGGCATTTCAGGAGGCAGAAAGTGAAGAATATTGGAGTGTTATTTTATTGTGGTTTATTACAAATATGAGTGTGTATTATCAGGCAGTGCACCAATAATAAATTTAGAATATAACTTCCCATCCCCTACATCACCAGTCTCTGAAAAGTTAAGATTGTGAATACCCTTACTGTACTTAAGAAGACCTTTAAACTTTTGTTTTTGTTTTGGGGCCACACCTTCCCGACTCTGTTCTCAGGGATCACTTCTGGTGGGACTTGGAGTTCTGGGGATCGAATTCAGTCAGCTCTGTGCAAGGCAGGTGCCTACCTACTGTACTGTCACTCAGGCCCCAAGACATTGAAATTTTGATAAGTGGAAAACGCAGTAATATCTTACGAAGGTCACTTTAAATCTTGTTTCTATTTTTTTAATAAATTTTCCATGCTTTCTAAAAATGTGGACAAACAGGGTTTGGAAGAAAATATATATAGTTTATCTAGGTTTGTAAACATATATCACTTATAGTTTTGCTTGAAACATTACTAAGAAATTTTAATTTTTACTACAAATCTGGGCTGGAGCAATAGCACAGAAGGTAGGGTGTTTGCCTTGCGCGCAGCCGACCCGAGTTCGATTTCGCCCGCACAGCAGAGCCTGGCAAGCTCCCTGTGGCGTATTTGATATGCCAAAAACTGTAACAACAAGTCTCACAATAGAGACGTTACTGGTGTCGGCTCGAGTACATGGATGAACAATGGGAGGACAGTGCTACAGTGCTACTACAAATCCAAACTTTTCCTAGCAAAATGGCTTTTTAATTTGATATCTACTTTATGTAATACATGTAATTACCAGGCTTTATTACATAGTTTGTTTTCATATTTGGTTACTTAAGAACGTTTTAGCTCTAATTCAGCTTTACAAGTTACTATTCTTGTTAGAAAAAAAAAAGAAAACTCTTATTTCACTGCATCAATTTCTTATACCTATTAAACAAGGAAATGAGAGGCACTCAGTCACAGTGGTGGTTTTGTCTTATTTAATATCTTCAGTCCTATAAAGCAGCAGTGTTCTTCTTTACAATTATTGCAAAATAAGGTTGGAAATAAATTCAGAAATAGGGAATTTAACAAAAGACGCAAAGCTCTTAAGTGTAACAATTGGGATTTGAACTGGGTCTGGGATGTGAAAGTGCTCAAGCTCTCCACATTTTGTACACAGCATTATTGGTTATATTACTGCGGCTGAAATAATTCTGTACTAAGAGATATTTTTTATGTACAGTTCCAAAGTTCTTGTTCTTTAATAATAGCATTAATATGCTAAGTATATGACAACACTTAATTCGTATTTTTCTCTATAGCAGTTCTCTTGTATCTTGCTGGTAATTTCATGCAGAAAGTGCTGAAGGGCATTTTGTTTTCGTAATGGACTACTGTTTTTCACATGAAATGAAAGTGTTACAACTCATATCTCTGAATGAAGGACTTAGAAAAATATATGCTTAAAAAATTACAGATCTTAGTGCCTCTAGGGCCAAAAACATGACAGTAAATATCTTTTAAGAAATAGCTTTGAGTTTGGTACCAGCTCAGAATCAAACGTATTTGTCAGTTTGGGGGCCAGGGCGATAATACAGCAGGTAGGGTGTTTGCCTTGCACGTGGCCAACCTGGGTTCAATCCCCAGCAGCCTACATGGGACCCCACACCCATCCGGAGTGACCCCTGAGCATAGAGCTAGGAATAAGACCTAAGCACTGCTGGGTGTGGCCTAAAAACAAAACTAACAAAAAAGTACCAGTTTTTATTTCAACGACTACAGGCTCTTTTAGTGACAACTTTACCAAGGCAGTTTCTGGATGGCAGAGTGGTTCACTAGGTTACCCAGGCCAGATCTGTGCCCAGTTGCTAGAGAAATGGAAAGCAGCCCTTCAAACTTCGGTCAATCAAAGGTACTGAACTCAAAATTACCCTGATGGAATCAGGGTCTCACTGTAGGTGGTAGATCTGGGACATGAGATGTGTGGTAGGAGGGAAATGGGGAGGTGGTCACCAGTCCACATCATTTAAGTAAACAAGGCACAGTTCTGTAAATTCTGTGATCAGAATTGTGTATAGGACCTGCATTGAGCAGAGGGCTCCACAGAGGAATAATATTTTTACATTAGCGGGTAGGGCGTTCGCCTTACAAGCGGCCAACATGGCCGACCCAAGTTCGATTCCTCTGCCCCTCTCGGAGAGCCCGGCAAGCTACCGAGAGTATTCGATATGCCAGACACAGTAACAACAAAAGTCTCCCATGGAGACGTTACTGGGCCCGCTCGAGCAAATCGACGATTAACGGGAGGGCCTTTACCTTACCTTACCTTACTTTTATTTCTGGTTTCTCTTAAT